TCGTTTAGCTTTGGCTAATGCTGTGTGCTAATCATACGGTGGCGGAGAGGGCTCAACGCGCTGAAAACACATACGGCTAACACTAAAGTAGCCGGGAGGGACTAACTGAGAGCTTCAAACATTGGTTCTGGTTATTTTCTTGCTGTTAAAAGAGAAACAGTAACATATACATTATTAGTACGGTAGATACAAAGTCATTATCACATAACATCCAGTCCATGGAAACATCGTTCTGTTCCATTATAAAGAGTTTTATTTTGAAGGATGTTACAGGAAGTGGTATGCAATATGCACTTCTTCTAGCCTTTTAGCGTCCAATTCACATTGAAATATGACTCACGTTGCTGTATAAAGTTGACTACAATACAGTGCAGTCAGATAAAGTCGTAAAGTAAAATTGAACGTTTTAAAAACTAAAATACACTTCCGTCTGTTACATACAATGTTTTATTTTGTAGGATGTTACAGGAAGTGGTATGTAATATGCAATTCCTCTAGCTTGACAGAAATGAAGCTGCAGTAACTCACCGTGACCACAAGAGGGCGTTAATACCCACTTTCTGAACATAGTGCCATTAATATACATTTTCACTAAGTTTTTTTGCCGACCAGTTTACATTGAAATATGACTCATAATACGGTGAAATAAAGACAGGATACATGTTAAAACGTGTATTAACTACCTAGCTCTCAGTTAGTCCCTCGAGTCTCCCGGTTACCTTAGCTCTATGTGTTAGCCGTATGTGTTTTCAGCGCGTCTCGGCCACCGTATGATTAGCACACAACATTAGCCGAAGCTAAACGAACTGTTTCCTTAAAATACAATGTCTTCCCGCTTAGTGAGTAGATGTAGAAGATGTGATACGTTTCTCTATCAAGTTGACTACAATACCGTGTAGTCAGATAAAGTCTTAAAGTAAATATTGAACGTTTTAAAAACTAAAATACACCTCCGTCTTTTACATACAATTTTTTATTTTGTAGGATGTTACCGGAAGTGGTATGTAATATGCAATTCCTCTAGCTTGACAGAAAAGCAGCTGCAGTAACTCACCGTGACCACAAGAGGGCGTTAATACCCACTTTCTGAAAATATACATTTTCACTGAGGCCTTTTACCGACCAGTTTACATTGAAATATGACTCATATTACGGCGAAAAAACGACAGAATCATGTTAAAAAATGTATTAACTCCACTAGCTCGAAGGCAGACACACTATTTTAGTAATACCTAGTAGTTTAATGTATAACTGTTACTTCAAGTCTGTGTTATCAAGTTAAATAAGTTACTTAAAACACTGCATTACCTGTAAATGTATATAAAGTATACATTAAAAGGAATATAACAAAGTGTACATGTGTATGAAGGTATTACAGAGTAGTTCCTATTCCTATTGCAGGATGTTCTGTGTTTATTTATATATATATTGGTGTCAACATAATACTGAAAATCGCTTGAATTGGACTTTTATTAAATAATTGTAATCCGGTGCGTTGCTCAAGGGCACCACCGCAGGGCCCAGGAGGTGAACTGGGACCTCTCCAAGTAGCAGACCACACTCCATATTTAGGTCTGGTCGGGGACTTGAACCGACCACCCTACGGCTCACAGTCCAAGCCCTTGCTGACTGAGCCACTGCCGGACAGTAGTAGTGCTTGAGGAAACATTTTAAGAGTTAATAAAAGGCTCATTATTGATAAAAAAAACACTTGAATAGTCAATAACACTCAAATATAGCGTTTCTTTAAACATGTTCCGGTGACCTTCTGATGTATTTCTCTCCTGATAACGTGTTTATTTAAAGAAACGCAGGTGTGTGCTACAGTAAAGACATAATGAGAGTGTAAAAGCAGCTTATTGAGAAGCTTTGCATACCGGCTGGATCAACCAGCGTGGGAATGTTGATCTGCTGCGAGGAGAGAGATATAATAACAGGAGAACAAATCTGCAGAACTGCATTTATAGAGCGGGTTTTACGTTAAATCTGTATTTTAATAATTAATTTAAAGGGAGATAAACACTAGACTCCTGGTGCTAGACCCCTGGCACTAGACTCCTGGTACTAGACTCTAGTCTCCTGGTGCTAGACTCCTGGTACTAGACTCCTGGTACTAGACTCCTGGTACTAGACCCCTGGTACTAGACTCCTGGTACTAGACCCCTGGCACTAGACCCCTGGTACTAGACTCCTGGTACTAGACTCCTGGTACTAGACTCCTGGTACTAGACTCCTGGTACTAGACCCTGGCACTAGACTCCTGGCACTAGACTCCTGGCACTAGACTCCTGGTACTAGACTCCTGGTACTAGACCCCTGGCACTAGACTCCTGGTACTAGACTCCTGGTACTAGACTCCTGGTACTAGACTCCTGGTACTAGACTCCTGGCACTAGACTCCTGGTACTAGACTCCTGGTACTAGACCCCTGGCACTAGACTCCTGGTACTAGTCTCCTGGTACTAGACTCCTGGTACTAGACTCCTGGTACTAGACTCCTGGTACTAGACTCCTGGTACTAGACTCCTGGCACTAGACTCCTGGCACTAGACTCCTGGTACTAGACTCCTGGTACTAGACTCCTGGTACTAGACTCCTGGTACTAGACTCCTGGCACTAGACTCCTGGTACTAGACTCCTGGTTCTAGACCCCTGGCACTAGACTCCTGGTACTAGTCTCCTGGTACTAGACTCCTGGTACTAGACTCCTGGTACTAGACTCCTGGTACTAGACTCCTGGTACTAGTCTCCTGGTACTAGACTCCTGGTACTAGACTCCTGGTACTAGACTCCTGGTACTAGACTCCTGGTACTAGACTCCTGGTACTAGACCCTGGCACTAGACTCCTGGCACTAGACTCCTGGTACTAGACTCCTGGTACTAGACTCCTGGTACTAGACCCCTGGCACTAGACTCCTGGTACTAGACTCCTGGTACTAGACTCCTGGTACTAGACTCCTGGTACTAGACTCCTGGCACTAGACTCCTGGTACTAGACTCCTGGTACTAGACCCCTGGCACTAGACTCCTGGTACTAGTCTCCTGGTACTAGACTCCTGGTGCTAGACTCCTGGTACTAGACTCCTGGTACTAGACTCCTGGTACTAGACTCCTGGTACTAGACTCCTGGCACTAGACTCCTGGTACTAGACTCCTGGTACTAGACCCTGGCACTAGACTCCTGGTACTAGTCTCCTGGTACTAGACTCCTGGCACTAGACTCCTGGTACTAGACTCCTGGTACTAGACTCCTGGTACTAGACTCCTGGTACTAGACTCCTGGTACTAGACTCCTGGCACTAGACTCCTGGTACTAGACTCCTGGTACTAGACCCTGGCACTAGACTCCTGGCACTAGACTCCTGGTACTAGACTCCTGGTTCTAGACCCCTGGCACTAGACTCCTGGTACTAGTCTCCTGGTACTAGACTCCTGGTACTAGACTCCTGGTACTAGTCTCCTGGTACTAGACTCCTGGTACTAGACTCCTGGTACTAGACTCCTGGTACTAGTCTCCTGGTACTAGACTCCTGGTACTAGACTCCTGGCACTAGACTCCTGGTGCTAGGTACTAGACTCCTGCTACTAGACTCCTGGTGCTAGACCCCTGGCGCTAGACTCCTGGTGCTAGGTACTAGACTCCTGCTACTAGACTCCTGGTACTAGACTCCTGGCACTAGACTCCTGGTGCTAGGTACTAGACTCCTGCTACTAGACTCCTGGTACTAGACTCCTGCTACTAGACTCCTGGCACTAGACTCCTGGTACTAGACTCCTGGCACTAGACTCCTGGTGCTAGGTACTAGACCCCTGGCGCTAGACTCCTGGTACTAGACTCCTGGTGCTAGACTCCTGGTGCTAGACTCCTGGTGCTAGACTCCTGGCGCTAGTCTCCTGGTACTAGACTCCTGGCGCTAGACTCCTACTACTAGACTCCTGGTGCTAGACTCCTGGTGCTAGACTCCTGGAGCTAGTCTCCTGGTACTAGACTCCTGGTGCTAGACTCCTGGTGCTAGACTCCTGGTGCTAGACTCCTGGTGCTAGACTCCTGGTGCTAGACTCCTGGCGCTAGTCTCCTGGCGCTAGACTCCTGGTGCTAGACTCCTGGTGCTAGGATGGGTTAAATGCAGAGAACACATGTCACTGTGTGCTCTGCATGTGAGACCATTACAGAGGGTCTCATCCCTCTCATTCTATTCTATAAAGTTAAAACAATGACTGGTGTTTTTTAAAGAGGTGAAACAGAACCAGAGCTCCTGAGAGATTAGAGGCTTACGAACTCGAGGCAGAAAACGTGGCCATTGGATTTTAAAGTGACGTTCTGCGTTTCTCAATCAGCATAAATGAAACCCTTTCATAACGAAGTGGAGGTGCAGACTCAGGGTTTCTTATTTGGTGCATCATGGCGAGCTGGTGGGCGGCTGAAGACGAGGAGGAAAGCTCCATCGTCTCTCGGGTGATTCAGGCCGTCGGACTCTTTGGAGATATTCTGTCTTTGGAGGACACCATGCTGCGTGACGAAGAGACAGCGGAGGAGGGGAAGGAAGGAGGAAGTGAGAACAGGTTGGCAGGAGAGGAGGAAGGAGAGGAGGAAGAGGAGGAGGGAAGAGAGGAAGAGCAGGAGCTAGAAAATGAGGATGAAGAAGAGCAAGGAGAGGCGGATATAGAAGATGAAGAAGTAGAGGAGGAAGAAAAGGAGGTTTTAGAGAATGGAGGTGAAGAGGAAAGAGCAGGAAACGAGGAGAAGAGCGATGATGAAGACGAGGTTGAAGAACAGAGGGATGAAGAGGAAAAAGAAAATGAGGTTTTGGAGGAGGAACAAGAAGAGAGAGAAAAGGAGGAAGGAGAGATAACAGGACGTCATGTTGAAGAAGAGGAGGAGACAGCGGGAGAAAAGGAGGAAGGAGAGATAACAGGACGTCATGTTGAAGAAGAGGAGGAGACAGCGGGAGAAAAGGAGGAAGGAGAGATAACAGGACGTCATGTTGAAGAAGAGGAGGAGACAGCAGGAGAAAAGGAGGAAGGAGAGATAACAGGACGTCATGTTGAAGAAGAGGAGGAGATGACGGCCTTAGAGGATGGAGAAGCAGAGAGGAAAGAGGAAGCCAACCATCCGTCAGATTCCCAAAAGCCATCACCTGCAGAAACGCTGAGTCATGAAGAGGAAGAGGAGGAAGAGGAGGAAGAGGAGGAAGAGGAGGAAGAGGACTCTGCCAGAAACCAGAATGAGGACGTTTATCCCAGCTCAGCGAGCAGCGACAGAGAAACAACACAAAGTCTGACGGACACAAAGTCTGCTCGTCTGGATCTGAGAGACGACGAGACGCAGAGTTTGGAGGAAAGACTCGAAATAAAGACGTCGTCTCCGGGAGAAACCTCCGCCGTCGTCAGGGACGCTACACCTGGACCGCAGACAGGTAGGCTCTGGCTCTTATGGCTGCCTTTTTTACCTTAATTGTACTGTATCGTTAAGCGTTCAGTGTGTTCATTAATTGAAACCTCATTAAATGTCCCCAGAGATGACAGTCACTCAAAAAGCTCCACAGGGACTCATTTTCTAAGTTAGTCTTATTGGGTTTGTGTTGATTAAGGTAATCAATTAACAGACCATAATAACACTCCCCCATTTTTTATACTACAGGTTTTGTTTAGATATGCTAATGAAGCTAATGCTAGCTTTTGGGGAGTTCAGGTGAAATCTAAACTCACCAAATGGAAGGAAAACAGCCCCAAAAAAAACTAAAATCGACCCGTGTTTGTGTGTGTAGTGTCCCCCTTTAATGGGAGCTGTGTCCCCCTTTAATGGGAGCTGTGTCCCCCTTTAATGGGAGCTGTGTCCCCCTTTAATGGGAGCTGTGTCCCCCTTTAATGGGAGCTGTGTCCCCCTTTAATGGGAGCTGTGTCCCCCTTTAATGAGAGAGATAAGATAAGATAGGACTTTATTTATCCCAAAGGAAATACTTGTGTCAGAGTTACAAAAATACAATAAACACAGGATAATAAAACTGTACACTAACAGTGCAGTAAAAAGAGCAATTAAATATCTACATGTAACATAGACGGTCAAATAATGAATGTAAAAACTGTACAGTGACGAGCAGTATTGAGTAGTGCAAGATACGTAATTGCAAGTTATTGTAAAACATTATTAATAATAGTGCACATGTTATATAGCAGAGAGTGTTTGATAAATGATCAAACTAAATGACCTAACCTGTCAAAACCTGTATTTTAATTAACATAATAGTTTCCATTATTTGGCATCAGCTTGCAGGTTGAGAGTGGCGTTGATGGATCCAGAAGCGTCACTAATGGCCGAAGAAGAAGGAGGAGGACGAAGAACACAAAACTCATCCAATCCTGTGATGGAGGCTGAGGAAGGAGAACCGGATGAAGGTCAAAACTCTGGCCTTACGAACGGCAAGGCTGACAACAAGAAGAAGAACGGCAAGCCACAAGCGTCGAAGTTCAAAACCGTGTCGTACAGAAGGATCCGGAGAGGAAACACCCGACAGAGGATCGAGGAGTTTGAGGCCATGATGGATTCGTAATTTAACCAGAAAGAGTTTTTGTTCTGTTGGCTCTCTGAGCTCTTGTGGTTAAAGATGATAGCGGCATCGTTTAGAGAAACGTATAGGGGCCCAGGATAGAGCCTTGTGGTACACCTTAAGCATCATATTTTTGGGAAGAAACTGAAATAAAGTATAAATGTATAGTTCTGTGATATGCGTGTTCTAGTTATTGTAAACTGCACAGTCTAATAATCAGTATTACATCATATTTATTATTGAATAGTGATATTAAACAAGTTTACAAAGCATCATACTGATTTAAGTTATTTGAGGTAACTTATAATTTATATATTTCTAGATATTTATTATGATATTTTTGTACTACAATGTTAACTAGTACATTTTTACTTTTTACTATCATGTTTAATGAACATCGCGGACATGTATTTTCTATTACAATTTACCAAACCAAAGTTTTTTATATGGAAAATAACCTTTAAAGAGTTTCCGCTTTACTTATTTATGAATAATTAAACATTTGTTAAAATAAGGAGCGCACAAGGACTACAAATCCCACAATATAGAAAGATATATAATAACTTTGAATGTGAAAAAATGATTTGTGAGTGTGATCAATATACGTTTAATTGACCTGAAACTGACAAATGAATCGCTAACAAATAAATACATTATTTTAATCTGTTATCTTTGCTTGAAAGATAAAACCAAAAAGATCAGAATCCGAAGTCCTTTGTTTGTACCACAACAGGGACATTTACATTATCATAGCAGCAGAAGTATTGAGAATATACTTACATATTCAAACGGATAAGTAGCAATATATATTTTAAAAGTGACCATATGTGTACAAAAAGCAATATAATAAGGTTGATTAGCCAATCAAAAGTATTTCTCTTAGTAGAAACTCCAAAAATGGAAGTGTTTTGTTGCTGTTAAACAGATGTATCCAATAAGGACTACAAATCCCACAATCCTCTGCTCCTGTCACTGACGTCATCGGGAGCCCGGACCCGGCGTGTCAGCAGCAGCGAGCTGGATTTGCACTCGGCAACAAAAGAGCTAATTTTAAACAGTTTGCGAAACTTTGTCGAGGACAGTATTTCGGGGGGACTTTATCACAGGTACGTTTATCCGCGAGGAGGCATTTAGGAATGTAGTTCTCCCCCGAAATTTGTAGTTTTTACGGTTTACATTTTGAATGTTGGAAGTTGGCTAACTAGCTAGGTGGCTAACAAGATGGCCGCGTCTATTTACTGCGGAACAATAACAAACATGTTGACAAACAAACACGTGTTGTTTAGCATCATATCACATTGGAGACTACCTTTTAAACTGTCATTTACTGAATTGAACAAGTCATTTCTGATTGGTGTACACGTTGTGGGACCGTTTCCATAGTGATGACACCAATGAGGAAGAGGAAGGAGGTGGTGAAGAAGATGATGATGATGATGATGACGTTGACGTCATGCAGTTAGCTGGACTTCAGCCCCGCAGATAGAACCGGATCCGGGACAGAAAGAGACACCATGCCGCGGAGGAAACAGTCCAACCCGCAGCCGGTCAAATGTGAGTTTCCTCTCCAGCTGTTTCTTAACTCTTTATTTACTGTTTTAAATGTAGTTTTCTAGCTGTTTGAGTCTCTATCTAGTTTCCAAATGTAGTTTTCTAGCTGTTTGAGTCTCTATCTAGTTTCCAAATGTAGTTTTCCAGCTGTTTGAGTCTCTATCTAGTGTCCAAATGTTGTTTTCCAGCTGTTTGAGTCTCTATCTAGTTTCCAAATGTAGTTTTCTAGCTGTTTGAGTCTCTATCTAGTGTCCAAATGTTGTTTTCCAGCTGTTTGAGTCTCTATCTAGTGTCCAAATGTTGTTTTCCAGCTGTTTGAGTCTCTATCTAGTGTCCAAATGTAGTTTTAACGGTTATTTCTGTCTGTTTTTAGAGTTTTAAATGTTGTTTTCCAGCTGTTTGAGTCTTAATATAGTGTTTAAATGTAGTTTGTCGTCTTCTATCTGTTTCTGACTGTATTCAGAGTGTTGGTCTCTCTCTACACACCAGTCCCACTTTAAGGACGTGTTTCTTTCCTGTTATTGCTCCATGTGAAATCCAGTTTAAATCCCACGTTCTTAAAGATGAGACTCAAGCTGAGCAGCCATGATTAACATATGGACGTCCTCGTGGAGTTAAAGCTAGCTGTAGTCCTCTCAGTAGACGACATGTTAGTGTTTTTATCTCATCCTGGATTTTTTGGCGGTCCACTTCCTGTCTGCTTCCTGTCTCCACTTCCTGTTCGCAGGCCTGACCCTGACCTCTCTCTTCATGCTTCTTCCTCTCTTCTAAGAATCCTCCACATGTGTTCTGTGCAGAGAGGAGAAGTACACACATCCTTTACTAAGTAGAAGTACACACATCCTTTACTCAAGTAGAAGTACACACATCCTTTACTCAAGTAGAAGTACACACATCCTTTACTCAAGTAGAAGTACAGATACTCGTGTTTAAATATACTCTGGTGAAAGTAGAAGTACTGACTAAACTTCTTTACTCAAGTAGAAGTAAAGAACTTTGAAATGTACTTCAGTAAAAAGTACCCATAACTAGCAGCTGTTTTAAAGAGTACCTGACCTCCCTTTATATTAATAGAACAATAATGTCATTGTTAGCTAATGAATGTTTCCATGCTGAACAACGGCAACATGACAACGTTTTCATTGGTCCCTCTTCTTTAGAGAAGACCAGGAAATGATGGATACACGGATCGTGTTCAAATCAATAGGCACGCAATGACTCTAAATAATAATGATCACGCCACCAAACACACATTCAAACTAAAGGAACCAGCCTGTTTGGGAAATGTGAGAAGTAGAAAGTACAGGTATTTGGGTTCAACATGTAAGAAGTAGAAAGTACAGGTATTTGTGTTCAACATGTAAGAAGTAGAAAGTACAGGTATTTGGGTTCAACATGTAAGAAGTAGAAAGTACAGGTATTTGAGTTCAACATGTAAGAAGTAGAAAGTACAGGTATTTGTGTTCAACATGTAAGAAGTAGAAAGTACAGGTATTTGTGTTCAACATGTAAGAAGTAGAAAGTACAGGTATTTGTGTTCAACATGTGAGAAGTAGAAAGTACAGGTATTTGGGTTCAACATGTAAGAAGTAGAAAGTACAGGTATTTGTGTTCAACATGTAAGAAGTAGAAAGTACAGGTATTTGGGTTCAAAATGTAAGAAGTAGAAAGTACAGGTATTTGTGTTCAACATGTAAGAAGTAGAAAGTTCAGGTATTTGAGTTCAACATGTAAGAAGTAGAAAGTACAGGTATTTGGGTTCAACATGTAAGAAGTAGAAAGTACAGGTATTTGGGTTCAACATGTGAGAAGTAGAAAGTACAGGTATTTGGGTTCAACATGTAAGAAGTAGAAAGTACAGGTATTTGGGTTCAACATGTGAGAAGTAGAAAGTACAGGTATTTGGGTTCAACATGTGAGAAGTAGAAAGTACAGGTATTTGGGTTCAACATGTAAGAAGTCAAAGTAAAAAGTAGTGGAGTAAAGTACTGATACCAGAAACATGTACATCTACTTCCCACCTCTACTTCTTATCCCATGTTTCACTCCTCTTCCTCTTCCTGACCCCCCTCACTCTTCCTCCTCTTATCTCATCCTCACTGATGTCCTCTTGCTTCCTCTCCACCCTCTCACAAATATTCTTTTTACTTCCCCTGGATTGTTTACTCTCTCTCTGTGTGTGTGTGTTCAGTGGATTCTGAGGACGGGGAGGGGGTGTGTGAGCCCGGCTGCCTCGTTCTGGAGAGCGACTTCCTGCTGAGCGGGGAGCTGGAGTTTGGAGACTCTGACATTATGGGGCTGGATAGAGAGTCCGGTCAGTGGCACACACACACACACACTCGCACTCGCACAGTCACACACTCGCACTCGCACAGTCACACACTCTCTCAAACACACTCACAGACACACACACACACGCACTCGCAGTCTCACACACACACACACACACACACACACACACACACACACACACACACACACAAACATTTGCACTCTCTCTCACCCACACACTCACACTCTCACATACACCCTCTTAACACTCACACACACACACACACACACACACACTAACTCACCCTCTTAACACTCTCACACACACACACAGTCACACACTCACACACTCGCTCACTCACTCAAACACACTCAGTCTCACACACACTCAGTCTCACACACACACACACACACACACACACAGTCACACACTCGCTCACACACACTCAGTCTCACACACACACACACACACACAGTCACACACTCGCTCACACACACTCAGTCTCACACACACACACACACACACACACACACACACACACACAGTCACACAGTCACACACTCACTCAAACACACTCTCTCACACACACTCAGTCTCACACACACTCAGTCTCACACACACTCAGTCTCACACACACTCACACACACATTAGTCAGGTACTGAACAACAAACACTGGAAGGTTTTGAGTCATTGTGTCCGTGTCTGATGGTCAAACCTTCAAAGGAAAAGCTCTGTGTCTTCGGGGAACCTTGTATCTGCGCTCATGAATGTTTCCTTGTCTCCTCTCCAGGCATGACGGTGTTTTCTCTGAGCGTGGAGGAGGATCCCTCGGCTCCGACAGACTCCACCTTCCCAGCGTTCCTCTCCTGTCGAGGCTGTGGTCAGCTGCTGGGAGACACTCCTCTGGGAGCAGGGTTGGATCTAGGTAACTCTCATTTGACTGTGTTTCTATAGAGAAAACCACCTGGACAGAATGTATAGGATGTTCTCGGACATTTCAGTCACTCTTTTGGTTCAAAATGGATGTTTCCCTGCTCTTGATTTAGTCTCTAGGGGCTGTAGTCTGCTGTAATATTGTCCACCGAAGAGAGAAGCCCAGAGCTCAAAGTCAACTTCATTGTGAATTTTTCAGTGTGTGTGTACAGACAGAGAGATCGAAATACTGTTTCCCACAATCCAGAGGAATACAAAAATAAAAATATGTATATACACAATCAACAGACACATTTGTACATATGCACACATTAAGACGTTAATACAATGTGTGTTTTCTATCCAGTGTGTAAGTTAGAAGCAGAGGTGGGAAGTAGTGGAGTACAAATACTTTGTTACTGTACTTAAGTACATGTTTCTGGTATCAGTACTTTACTCCACTACTTATTTTTCTGATGAGTTTTTGTGTTTGGTCAGGTGGCGTGATCATTATTATTTAGAGTCATTGCGTGCCTATTGATTTGAACACGATCCGTGTATCCATCATTTCCTGGTCTTCTCTAAAGAAGAGGGACCAATGAAAACGTTGTCATGTTGCCGTTGTTCAGCATGGAAACATTCATTAGCTAACAATGACATTATTGTTCTATTAATATAAAGGGAGGTCAGGTACTCTTTAAAACAGCTGCTAGTTATGGGTACTTTTTACTGAAGTACATTTCAAAGCCTCTTTACTTTGACTTGAGTAAAGAAGTTTAGTCAGTACTTCTACTTTCACCAGAGTATTTTTAAACACGAGTATCTGTACTTCTACTTGAGTAAAGAAGTTTAGTCAGTACTTCTACTTTTACCAGAGTATGTGTACTTCTACTTGAGTAAAGAAGTGTGTACTTTGCCCTCTCTGGTTATAAGTGCTGTCTGTGTTCCAGGTGTGGGTCTGGACCTGGGGGCGGAGCTCTACTGTCTCACCTGTGATGGCCTGCAGCAGGGCGCCTCCTCTCAGGTGGAGGAGTCGAGCGGGGACTCGGACAGTAAGAGGAGGAAGGCGACGGAGGACGCTCCCAAACTGTTCTCCTGCTCGCTGTGCACCTTCACCTCGCGCTACTCCAACCACCTGAAGCGCCACATGAGGACGCACGACGGCCACAAGCCCTACCGCTGCCCCGTGTGCGACTACGCCTCGGCTCAGCTGGTGAATCTGCAGCGACACGCCCGCACACACACCGGGGAGAAACCCTACCGCTGCCCCGTCTGCGAGTACGCATGCAGCTCGCTGGGGAACCTGCGCAGGCACCAGCGCATGCACAACCAGGAGAGGAAGGAGAAGAGGGAGAAGGAGAAGAGGAGAGGCCGCAGGAAAAAGGCTGAAAGTGAACAAGGTAATGTCAAATCATCGTATAATCATCCACAACATCTGAGACTAACAATCACTTCAAATGTAACTTACAAAGCTAGCGAGAACCAGGAGGAACTACTTCTTCCAGAATACTGTCGTGTCAAATGATCATATAATCATTTAAAACATATAGTCTTATACTCTGATTGCCTTTTACTCTGTTCAAGTGTATTGTTAGTCTTGTATGTGTTTAGCAGAGACAGATGTTAAGGGTTTACATGTCAGGAGGGCAAAGGAAGTAAAAGGTGGATTGAAATGGTTAAAGGCGAGGGGGTTTAATGGTTTAGTGATGGGATGGAGGAGCAGCTGTTTCCTCTCATGAATACACAGAGAGACTGTGAGCAGAACTTCTTTCTCCTCTGAGGAGGAAGCTGCATCGTTCCTGCATTTCAGATCCATTTCACTTGTTCATCAGGGTGTCCGCGGGGTCTTACAAAGTATTAACAGTTGATCAATCAATTTAGAGAAAATTAAGGCTATTAAAAAGTATTAAACGGCATTTCCCAAGGTATTACATTTGGTAGCTTGTTTTCAATAAGTATATAAATGGTCCAAAGAGGTTGTATTCTACAGTGTGCCTGAATGTAATCATTGCGTAGGTGTGTAGTGTGATTCTGTGTAGTTTATTGATGGCATCCCGTTGGGTTTGACGTCATCTGAACAGGACATCGCACGCTCACTGCTTGATAGCGCGTGAAGGTCAGTTTACGCCGGTTGTTAAGCAACATCGTTATGGGGAAATGCAAGTCTGCGTCCAAATGGTTGGAAGATAAGGAGGAAGGACAATCAATACTGTATATAGTCAATGTGAGGGAAAGTGTGTAACCGGTTAAAACTCCAAGTGGCGATGAGGTCTTAAAATGTATGGAAAGGGTCTTAAAAAAGGTCTTAAAAGGTCTTCCATGTGACTTCAGGACTCCTGCATATACCCTCTATATTGACTTTCTTTATTACTTTATTTAATATAACAAAAGACACACTTTGTCCATGAATCATTGATCAGTTTCTCTTGCAATCCCACAGAGGTTATTAGACAAATAAGAAGGTAATGTCGTGGATCTGAAACCTTAGACACTCAAGACATAACAAGATATAACGAAATAGAAACACAGACGCTAGGGATGGGAATTTGAAAGCAAATGTATATTCGAGTATTCGACCCCCAAAAAAAACGGTTAACCAAATGTACATATCCTATACGTAATAACAAATACATTTTTAAATAAATATAGAAACCAAGTCGAATTTCTCCAATGTATTGATCGTTGTCGGACCCCCTCTCCCTGGACGAAGCTCAGAGGAAGTTACATGTCCCTGGCTATCATCTGGTATCCTGTCTCATGGCTTTATGTTTTAATGTTATGTGGTTAAGCATTGAGCTAATTGACCTATGATACACACGTTTCACTTTGCATAGTTTGCACTCTACACCACTCTCACTAACCTGGTGGAAATATTTCCTCACATTACTCCAAGAATCTCACAGGTTTTAAACACTTCTTTGTAGTTTACACAGCTCTATATTGTACCTTTGGACCTTTTACAATCACATGTTACAAGACCCTGAAGACCCTATGCTCAATAGCACGCTGCAGACAGACACTTATGGTCTCTTTGAAGAAACTCAGGAGCATGGCTTACAACACGTATCACATGTTAACACTTAGCTGCTCGCCACACTTCTTTCAATGTGTTTAAGCACTGAGCAGAGAAAGAGGAACTGAAGAGTGGAAACTGAGAGAGTTTTCAAAAAGAGGAAGAGAAATGGTTTCTGGTTGAGTGCTCCTCGACCTGAGAGTCGCTGAACTCAGCTGCTTCAGATCGTCTTTCCCACACTTTAGTCTCACACTTTATGACTTCAACATCTGAGAGAAACACTCACTTCAAATGTAACGTGCAAAGCTAAGGAGCACAGGAGAGGAGAACCGGGAGGAAGTAGAAGGAGGACGCTTGAGACTCCTTCTGTCTCTCCTCTCAGAGCTGTCTCCTTCTGTCTCTCCTCTCTGAGCTGTCTCTCCTCTCTGAGCTGACTCCTTCTGTCTCTCCTCTCTGAGCTGTCTCCTTCTGTCTCTCCTCTCTGAGCTGTCTCCTTCTGTCTCTCCTCTCTGAGCTGTCTCCTTCTGTCTCTCCTCTCTGAGCTGTCTCCTTCTGTCTCTCCTCTGAGCTGACTCCTTCTGTCTCTCCTCTCTGAGCTGTCTCCTTCTGTCTCTCCTCTCTGAGCTGTCTCCTTCTGTCTCTCCTCTGAGCTGACTCCTTCTGTCTCTCCTCTCTGAGCTGTCTCCTTCTGTCTCTCCTCTCTGAGCTGTCTCCTTCTGTCTCTCCTCTCTGAGCTGTCTCCTTCTGTCTCTCCTCTGAGCTGACTCCTTCTGTCTCTCCTCTCTGAGCTGTCTCCTTCTGTCTCTCCTCTCTGAGCTGTCTCTCCTCTCTGAGCTGTCTCTCCTCTGAGCTGACTCCTTCTGTCTCTCCTCTCTGAGCTGTCTCCTTCTGTCTCTCCTCTCTGAGCTGTCTCTCCTCTCTGAGCTGTCTCTTTCTGTCTCTCCTCTCTGAGCTGTCTCTTTCTGTCTCTCCTCTCTGAGCTGTCTCTTTCTGTCTCTCCTCTCAGAGCTGTCTCTTTCTGTCTCTCCTCTCTGAGCTGTCTCCTTCTGTCTCTCCTCTCAGAGCTGACTCCTTCTGTCTCTCCTCTCTGAGCTGTCTCCTTCTGTCTCTCCTCTCTGAGCTGTCTCTCCTCTCTGAGCTGACTCCTTCTGTCTCTCCTCTCTGAGCTGTCTCCTTCTGTCTCTCCTCTCTGAGCTGTCTCCTTCTGTCTCTCCTCTGAGCTGTCTCTTTCTGTCTCTCCTCTCTGAGCTGTCTCCTTCTGTCTCTCCTCTCTGAGCTGTCTCCTTCTGTCTCTCCTCTCTGAGCTGACTCCTTCTGTCTCTCCTCTGAGCTGTCTCTTTCTGTCTCTCCTCTGAGCTGACTCCTTCTGTCTCTCCTCTCTGAGCTGTCTCCTTCTGTCTCTCCTCTCTGAGCTGTCTCTCCTCTCTGAGCTGACTCCTTCTGTCTCTCCTCTCTGAGCTGACTCCTTCTGTCTCTCCTCTCTGAGCTGTCTCCTTCTGTCTCTCCTCTCTGAGCTGTCTCTCCTCTCTGAGCTGACTCCTTCTGTCTCTCCTCTGAGCTGTCTCTTTCTGTCTCTCCTCTGAGCTGTCTCCTTCTGTCTCTCCTCTCTGAGCTGTCTCCTTCTGTCTCTCCTCTCTGAGCTGTCTCCTTCTGTCTCTCCTCTCTGAGCTGTCTCCTTCTGTCTCTCCTCTCTGAGCTGTCTCTTTCTGTCTCTCCTCTCTGAGCTGTCTCTTTCTGTCTCTCCTCTCTGAGCTGTCTCCTTCTGTCTCTCCTCTCTGAGCTGTCTCTTTCTGTCTCTCCTCTCTGAGCTGTCTCCTTCTGTCTCTCCTCTCTGAGCTGTCTCCTTCTGTCTCTCCTCTCTGAGCTGTCTCCTTCTGTCTCTCCTCTCTGAGCTGTCTCTTTCTGTCTCTCCTCTCTGAGCTGTCTCTTTCTGTCTCTCCTCTCTGAGCTGTCTCCTTCTGTCTCTCCTCTCTGAGCTGTCTCTTTCTGTCTCTCCTCTCTGAGCTGACTCCTTCTGTCTCTCCTCTCTGAGCTGACTCCTTCTGTCTCTCCTCTCTGAGCTGTCTCTTTCTGTCTCTCCTCTCTGAGCTGTCTCCTTCTGTCTCTCCTCTCTGAGCTGTCTCTCCTCTCTGAGCTGTCTCTCCTCTCTGAGCTGACTCTTTCTGTCTCTCCTCTCTGAGCTGTCTCCTTATGTCTCTCCTCTCTGAGCTGTCTCCTTCTGTCTCTCCTCTCTGAGCTGTCTCTTTCTGTCTCTCCTCTCTGAGCTGTCTCTCCTCTCTGAGCTGTCTCTTTCTGTCTCTCCTCTCTGAGCTGTCTCCTTCTGTCTCTCCTCTCTGAGCTGTCTCTCCTCTCTGAGCTGTCTCTCCTCTCTGAGCTGACTCTTTCTGTCTCTCCTCTCTGAGCTGTCTCCTTATGTCTCTCCTCTCTGAGCTGTCTCTTTCTGTCTCTCCTCTCTGAGCTGTCTCCTTATGTCTCTCCTCTCTGAGCTGACTCCTTCTGTCTCTCCTCCACACAGTGATCTCAGAGCTGACGTTCCTCCAGACGTTGGGAGGTCTGGGCTCTCCCTCCGCCCCGCTCCCAGTGCTTCTTTTCCCCCTGTGCTGCCAGATGTGTGGCCTCACCCTGGAGGAGTCTGACCTGGAGGGGGACAAAGCTGAGGGCGACGGGGAGGGCGACGCAGCACAGGTAGCTTCACCATGTTTAGGAGACACCAACAGGCTTTAGGGAACATAGGAGGTTCTCTGCATCACCCCTCACCTCCTACACCCTAACCCCCTCACCTCCTCACCTCCTACACACTAACCCCCTCACCTCCTACACCCTAACCCCCTCACCTCCTACACCTTAACCCCCTCACCTCCTACACCCTAACCCCCTCATCTCCTACTCCCTAACCCCCTCACCTCCTACACCCTAACCCCCTCACCTCCTACACCTTAACCCCTCACCTCCTACACCTTAACCCCCTCACCTCCTACTCCCTAACCCCTCACCTCCTACACCTTAACCCCCTCACCTCCTACACCCTAACCCCCTCACCTCCTACACCTTAACCCCCTCACCTCCTACACCCTAACCCCCCTCACCTCCTACACCTTAACCCCCTCACCTCCTACACCTAACCCCCTCACCTCCTACACCCTAACCCCCTCACCTCCTACACCCTAACCCCCTCACCTCCTACACCCTAACCCCCTCACCTCCTACACCCTTACCCCCTCACCTCCTACACCTTAACCCCCTCACCTCCTACACCTTAACCCTCACCTCCTACACCCTTACCCCCTCACCTCCTACACCTTAACCCCCTCACCTCCTACACCCTAACCCCCTCACCTCCTACACCCTTACCCCCTCACCCTACACCTAACCCCCTCACCTCACCACCTACACCCTCAAAACGTACACCCTAACCCTCCTCACACCTTAAACCCTCCCCTCACCTTCCTACACATAACCGCCCTCACCTCCTACACCTTAACCCCTCACCTCCTACACCCTAACCCCCTCACCTCCTACACCCTAACCCCCTCACCTCCTACACCCTAACCCCCTCACCTCCTACACCCTAACCCCTCACCTCCTACACCCTAACCTCCTCACCTCCTACACCCTAACCTCCTCACCTCCTACACCCTAACCCCCTTACCCCTGCTTCCACTCCTACTGCTATTAATTTCATTTGTACTTTATTATTTGCCCTTCTTGTTTGTTTGTTTGTTTGTTTGTTTGTTTACCATGTAAAGCGGCCTTGGGTCCCTTGAAAGGCGCTATATAATCTATTATTATGATAATTGAGTGTGTGCTGTGTGCTTCCAGGTGTGTCGTCGCTGCTCGCTGCTCTCCAAAGACTCCTCGGGGTCTCGTGGTCGCTCTCGAGGCTCCAAGCTGTACGGCTGCCCTCACTGCCCCTTCCTCTCTCACTACCCCAACCACCTGGCCCGCCACGCACACACACACTCCTCGGAGAAGCCCCACCGCTGCCCCCACTGCTCCTACACCTCCTCGCACCCCGACAACCTGAAGAGGCACCTGCGCGTTCACACGGGAGAGAAACCGTACGAGTGCCCGTCCTGCAGCTACGCCTGCGGGAACCTGGCCAACCTGCGGAGGCACGAGAGGATCCACTCGGGAGCAAAACCTTTTCACTGCGGGGTGTGCGGATACTCCTGCAACCAGAGCATGAACCTGAAGAGGCACATGCTGCGGCACACGGGAGAGAAACCCTACGCCTGCGCAGAGTGTGACTACACCACGGGACACTGGGACAACTACAAGAGACACCAGAGGAAACACGGACACAACACGGACAGCTGGGACAAACACACACCTGGAGACAGTCTCCGCTGGGGAGGAGAGGCCGGAGAGGAACACAGAGAGAGAGAGTGTGTGTGAGAGGAAGTGTGTGTGTGTGTGTGTGTGTGTGTGTGAGGGAGGGAGGGAGTGTGTGAGGGAGGGAGTGTGTGTGAGAGAAAGTGTGTGTGAGAGAAATTGTGTGTGTGAGGGAGTGTGTGTGTGTGAGGGAGGGAGGGTCAGGAACTGTGTGTGTGTGTGTGTGTGTGTGTGTGTGTGTGTGTGTGTGTGTGTGTGTGTGTGTGTGTGTGTGTGTGTGTGTGTGTGTGTGTGTGTGTGTGGTGTGTTGTGTGTGTGTGTGTGTGTGTGTGTGTGTGTGTGTGTGTGTGTGTGTGTGGTGTGTGTGTGTGTGTGTGGTGTGTGTGTGTGTGGGTGTGTGTGTGTGTGTGTGTGTGTGTGTGTGTGTGTGTGTGTGTGTGTGTGTGTGTGTGTGTGTGTGTGTGTGTGTGTGTGTGTGTGTGTGTGTGTGTGAACCTCCAGCTCAGGTTGGAGAAAGCTCAGGTGCCTTCTGACGGACTGTAATGCTGCACTGACTTTAAAGAAGTGGCAGTGTGTGTGTTTGAGCTACACACACACACACTTTGAATCAATGAAAGTGTGTGTTCTTCAGTAAATGCCGTCCTCAGACTTTCTGTGTGTCATGGATCTGAATCTGCAGATAATCTATATTTTTCATTTTCATGAAGATGATCTCAGAAGCTTTCAGGTTGTGTTAGACTGCTTCTGTTTCTCAGCGGGGCTCATTGTCATTTCTCCACCAATCACAGCGCTTTAGACCCAGTGAATGGGGACGGGGGGTTCTGACTACGAGGCGTAATCAAACCAGAATCAAAGGAGCAACACGTGATTATTGTGACATTAAATCAGGACATTGTTCCACAGGAGCCCAGCTGTTTTTTTTATCCGTAAAGTTTGACATGGAGACGGAAATGTGTTTGTATTTAAGAGGATATTATAGCCAGCCTGTTTACCTCTCAGACGGCAACAATTCAGGGAAAAATAAAAACAAGTTTAGCAATGAATGGACTCTCGCTTCATATTTCCACAAGGGGTTTTCTTTAGATTTGTCTCCAGGCGTTATTTTAGGTTAATTAAGCTTCAAACGAGTAGCTGTCAGTCAAATCCAGGCTCTTTTCAAATCAAATCTTAATACCCTAGGAAACCAGCCTTCAGCTTTTAGTAATAATGGTTTCTGCACGCTCTCCTCTTCTTATCTCTCATTAAAACCCGTCTGATTGAAGCTGCGTTGAAGCTACTTCCTGTTTTCACGCCTTCAGTTCAGGAAGCACCTGCTTCACACGCCCTGAGGTGGAGGGACTCCGTGGTGCGTGGAAGAAACGCAGAAACGTCCCCAAAGAAAATCACCCGACAGCACAAATGACACCTGAAGGGACGCTAAGACACTGCGACACAAAGTCTATCACACACACATGAGACTGTGATCTGTGTGGGTTTCATTTCAAGTAAAGAAAGCTGCAGTATTAACTCAAACCCATGGGCCTGGTGAGTACAGACTAAACAACTTCATCATTCATCTTTATCTGCTTTTTCCACATGTTATTTTAATTCTCTAATACTTTTTGCACAAGCCATTTAAAAAGCACATTTCCAAGTTACCAAAGTGTGAAAAAACTCTCTTGCTTTGTCTGTTTAGCTCTTAATTTAATCAAAGTGACTCTGAATAGACCATTTGACCCAAAAAATAAATCATTCTTAATATTTAGATGTTCACGTTGGAAACAAAGTTGTTTTTCACACACTAGGAATTAGCCTTGATATGTTTGTACGTATAACAATAAAATACTAATTAAAAATCTGCAGACACAGTCCTGTCCCGAGGTGTTCCCGGGGGACATCGTGGAGTATCCCAGGAACAAATACTTCTCTCACTTCGCTGTGTACTACGGAGAGAAGGACGGCGTTCCCTACGTCGCTCACCTGACCTGTCGAGGTCAGTGTTTCCTGCTTTTCTTACTGACCTCATTTGACCCCAATTAGGTTGTTGTGTTGGATAAGTACATTTCAATAAAACGTGTGTATTCAGTTCAGCATGTAGTTCCTCTGCTTGTCCACCAGAGGGCGCCATTTCCCAACAGTGGAGGAATAATACTTCTCCAAATTAAAATGATACAGCCTTATTCTTTCTTGTGACGCATCCCAGATAAAAAGCTTGTGTGGTTCAAATATTCAGAAATGATGATATGGAGATTTTATATTTGGTTAATTTACTGACACACGTGTGACTCTTCAAACTCTTTGTGATATTATATCAGATTATTTGTTTGTTCAGATTCCGACTCCAAGATGCTTCTGTTTGGCCGGGCTCTGAGGTCAGAGATCAAACTGGATCCACTTGAGCTGCTGGGGAAGAAATACAAGGTGACACACACATATATATATCTGAAGAATATTCAAATGTATATTTAGATTGTAACACTTTGTACATCAAACAATACAAATAGTGGGGAATATATTGTTAAGAAAAGCTTTATACTGTTAGGAAGACTCTCTCTGGTCTCCGGCTTGAGCTTCAATCTCAGGATCCATGTATCTGTGATCCTCTCCAGAATGGAAGTAGTCATCACATACAGAGCATCAACTAGTTCCTGAACAGTGTCCTTCACATGCTGATATCCAAGAGAGGGAGTTACACAGTCACAAGATGGAGGAATAGAAAGCAGTATTCAATGTTTACTTCAGATTAGCTCCACGTCAGAAATGAGCATGCTTGTCATATGTCTCTCTCCATAGAGGCTGAATCATCATGTTCATCACATAGCTATCATATGCCTCAAACAGTCCTGATGCTCTTCTAGGTAATCATACATCCTGTCATGTTCACAGCTACAGTTGGGATACCTTTGTTAGCATGCTACTCTCATATTGGAAGAGGACATTCAGGATTTTCCCAACAATACTCAACGGACATGATATAGAATATGAATAAATCCAATTATAATGTACATTATTGTTCTATTAATATAAAGGGAGCTCAGGTACTCTTTAAAACAGCTGCTAGTTATGGGTACTTTTTACTGAAGTACATTTCAAAGTTCTTTACTTTTACTTGAGTAAAGAAGTTTAGTCAGTACTTCTACTTTAAACAGGAGTATCTGTACTTCTACCTGAGTAAAGGATGTGTACTTTGCCCTCTCTGCTGACATGTATTGTCTGTGCGTCCTGGAGAGGATCCTCCTCTGTTTCTCTCCCTGAGGTTTCCTCCATGACAGTCCTGTATCCTGAATGATTCAAAGTGAAAGATGATCTGACAGTCTCCTCTCAGGTCAACAACATGATGGACGGCTGTTTCTCCGTCAGGGATTTCCACAGCGTGGTGAAGCCGGCCATCGACGACCTGATGGGGCGCGAGGTGACCTTCGACATCCTGTTTCATAACAGCGAGCACCAGGCCACGCTCCTCAGGTACGGAGTCAAGAAGTCCCAGCAGGTGAGACTTTTGAAATAGTATCAGCGTTCTTGACTTTATTCCTCAGATACTTAATGATAAACGAGCAGAGAGGGAAAGAGTACACGCATCCTTTACTCAAGTAGAAGTACAGATACTCGTGTTTAAAAGTGGTAAAAGTAGAAGTACTGACTAAACTTCTTTACTCAAGTAGAAGTACAGAACTTTGAAATGTACTTCAGTAAAAAGTACCCATAACTAGCAGCTGTTTTAAAGAGTACCTGACCTCCCTTTATATTAATAGAACAATAATGTCATTGTTAGCTAATGAATGTTTCCATGCTGAACAACGGCAACATGACAACGTTTTCATTGGTCCCTCTTCTTTAGAGAAGACCAGGAAATGATGGATACACGGATCGTGTTCAAATCAATAGGCACGCAATGACTCTAAATAATAATGATCACGCCACCAAACACACATTCAAACTAAAGGAACCAGCCTGTTTGGAAAATGTGAGAAGTAGAAAGTACAGGTATTTGTGTTCAACATGTAAGAAGTAGAAAGTACAGGTATTTGTGTTCAACATGTAAGAAGTAGAAAGTACAGGTATTTGTGTTCAACATGTAAGAAGTAGAAAGTACAGGTATTTGTGTTCAACATGTGAGAAGTAGAAAGTACAGGTATTTGTGTTCAACATGTAAGAAGTAGAAAGTACAGGTATTTGTGTTCAACATGTGAGAAGTAGAAAGTACAGGTATTTGTGTTCAACATGTAAGAAGTAGAAAGTACAGGTATTTGGGTTCAACATGTAAGAAGTAGAAAGTACAGGTATTTGTGTTCAACATGTGAGAAGTAGAAAGTACAGGTATTTGTGTTCAACATGTAAGAAGTAGAAAGTACAGGTATTTGTGTTCAACATGTAAGAAGTAGAAAGTACAGGTATTTGTGTTCAACATGTGAGAAGTAGAAAGTACAGGTATTTGAGTTCAACATGTAAGAAGTAGAAAGTACAGGTATTTGTGTTCAACATGTAAGAAGTAGAAAGTACAGGTATTTGTGTTCAACATGTAAGAAGTAGAAAGTACAGGTATTTGTGTTCAACATGTGAGAAGTAGAAAGTACAGGTATTTGTGTTCAACATGTGAGAAGTAGAAAGTACAGGTATTTGTGTTCAACATGTAAGAAGTAGAAAGTACAGGTATTTGTGTTCAACATGTAAGAAGTAGAAAGTACAGGTATTTGTGTTCAACATGTGAGAAGTAGAAAGTACAGGTATTTGTGTTCAACATGTAAGAAGTAGAAAGTACAGGTATTTGAGTTCAACATGTAAGAAGTAGAAAATACAGGTATTTGAGTTCAACATGTTAGAAGTAGAAAGTACAGGTATTTGTGTTCAACATGTTAGAAGTAGAAAGTACAGGTATTTGTATTCAACATGTAAGAAGTCAAAGTAAAAAGCCATGGAGTAAAGTACTGATACTAGAAAAAGTACAGTAAGGAAGTATTTGTACTCCACTACTTCCCCCGTCTGTAAACGAGTTTCCCAAATGAGTTTTCTCCGTGTTTCCCACCTTTACTTCAGCAGGACTGTGTAAAGGTTTGTTTAAAATGCAGTTAAATGAGAACGATGGTATGTTTTTTGCAGATAGAGAGGATTTATGAGCACATCATGCCGTCCTGGAAGAAGCTGTTCGAGCAGAAGAAACTGTGAAGCGTTTTCTGTTCACTTCCCATCTCCAACACCAGGGGGCGACACTATGCTCACACATAGGAGGGGGGGGGGATTTCAAGCATTGAGTTAACGTATATTTTCAGAATAAATGAAGTTATTATGCAAGTCGTATATTTTAAAATCTTTATTAAAAGACATATCCATCTCTCTGTTTTTTAGAATTTTATTGTATATGTATTTCTTTCATTTCTGCTGTTTTTCATTGTCTTTTCTTTGTATAACAATAAGTGCATTTCCCTCATTGACTATTCTTCCAGCCCAATTAAACACATTTTATTAATAATAAATGATATTCATTCACACCTGAATTGTCAGCTATCATTGTAGTATTAAATAAAGGTGCACATTCCACTCATAAAACCCCCATACATTTGTTATTTTAGTCAAAAAAACTGAAATGTAAGCAGATGTTATATTATGATTTGATTTCTTCCGTTCAGACAAAATCATTTAATGTGATTTAGTGAGAATCTTTTAGTTGTGATGTTATTTCAGAGTCTCTGAGAGCCAGGAGATCAGGATCCTGTTGGTCTCCGCCGGACGCTCCATCTGGATCCAGTGTCCGCACTCCTCGATGTGTCCTCGCTTCAGGTCAGGGATCTGCATCAACAAACATATATGAATCACTCCTGGGGGTTACAGGAAACAGGCCCAACACCTCACAGTCTCTGGGTGGTTATACGGTCTTTTTCTGTCCCTTAGTGGGTGTTTAGTGGGTCTTTGAGGTCATTGTGTCTGTCTATTGTGTCTCTATACTGTATAGGCACATTTCAGTCCTTTTGTGTCCCTTAGTGGGCCTATTGTGTCTCTTTGAGGTCATTTTGTGTGTCTTTATAGGCAATTTCAGTCACTGTGTGGTCAATTTGTGTCCCTTAGTGGGTCTTTGAGGTCATTTTGTGTCTATATAGGCACGTTCAGTCATTTTGTGTATTTTTGGTCAATTTGCTTCCCTTTAATCCTCATTTTGTGTCCCTTAGTTGGTCTTTTGTGTGTCTTTATAGGCCACTTCAGTCTTATGTCTCTTTGCTCAGTTGTGTCTCTGTGGTTGTTTAGGAGGGTCTCGCTGTTTGTTTTTCTCACCAAGTCCTCCATCCCCTTGGTGAAGGCCGGCAGCAGCACCTGGTCTTTACCTGCCGTCACCATCAGAGCAGGCATCAGCAGCTAACACACACACACACACACACACACACACATTATTTTTAATGAAATATATATACACAATAATATTCAAAAAAATGACGGTTCAATAGGAAATCAAAGCACACGTCTCACTATAAAGAAAGACGTAGTTCAAATGCATCCATGTGTTGGAGATCAGCTGTTTTTTAATGAGCTAAATGAAACAGACCTTTGCAGAGGGCTGAGAGCACTTCCACCTCCAGCTCGCCTCCCCGTTACGATACCAGTTCAACGGCCTCCTGTCACACACAAGGCTCTCAGTGTTACACTCACTGGAGAGCTACTTTTGTAAAGGATGTCGTGTTTTATGTCAGATCTGTTAAATGTTCCACCTGAAGCCTCGCTCCTTGTACTGGCTGACGTAGTACTGCAGCTCGGCCTCCGTCAGCATGCAGCCGCGGGGAATCTGCTCCGGCAGACCCACAAACAGACCCCCTGGAACACCACGTTGTTAAGAGGACTTATCATATGTATTAAAAAGTGTGTGTAAAGACACGTAAATCCTCATAGTCACCTCGAGCACACACTCCTGCAGTGCTGAGTGCAGGGCGCGTCACCTGAGAGGCAGACACATGCATTTCTTATTAAGAACGTGTGTGTGTGTGTGTGTGTGTGTGTGTGTGTGTGTTTTTCTCCTCACCGGTTCTGCACTGCTGAAGAAGAAAATGTTAAACGTTCGCTCCAGGTCTTTCTCCAGCTCCGCCTCTGCTACACCCTGGAACACACACACACACACACTAAGTGGAAACGCTCCTAGCAGGGAGTGGCAGAACTGGTTTCAGTGGCAGAACTGGTTTCAGTGGCAGAACTGGTTTCAGTGGCAGACTCACAGGCTGTTGGAAGTAGAGCTGGTAGTCGAAGATAGGAATATCCTTCAGTTTCTCACCAGGATTCACAGAGGGAGAGGTGGGAAACAGAGGCGTGTTCAGAGAGGCCACTGCCCTGCACACACACACACACACACGCACACACACACACACACCTTTTAAAGCAACATGTGTGTGCACAATCTGCATTTTCATTTACGGCCATCAAACACTGGAATATTCTTCCAGTTGTAATTGTTAAGGAATAATTCTTCTAGATATCTAACCTTTTGCTCTGTGACGTTTTATGATCTACTCTGACGTCTGTTATCTCCTTTAAGGAAAGGCCTTGGTGCCATATGTGTTGTTGTCATCAGTTTGTGACCGGTCAACTTGTCTGGCACGAAGGGTACTTGTTGTGAGAACACTGAGGCACTTCCTTATCGGTTTGTGGACTCTAAGATGTGAAATCCTTGAGGCCATGAGCGTCGGACGCAGGTGATTCAGTGTTTAGTCTACTCCTTCAGAGATGTTGATTACTCTCTGTGAACCAGTTAAAAGGTCTAGCATAGAGAGAGGTTCTTCAGAATTGACGTGGCAACTCTACCGTGTGGTCAGAACCTCTGACTCTTTGACTTGTGATGTGAATCATCCGGCCGAATACTCTGAATAAACCCATCAGTGTTCAAAGCTCCAGCTCTCACCGTGTCTCCTTCCTGAGTCGGTGACTCCATGCATTACTACACAGAAGTTTCCTCCACAGAAATTAAAACCTGTACTGACTTGAACTCTTTCTCTTGAGGTGCAAACAATGTGATTGACTTATTCAATTTGAACTGTCTTGTAATATTATATTTTAACTGTACTATGTATTATTTGATTGAGCTGTACTTAAATCATGTTTTATAATTGTTTGTGTGATAGAGATGATGCAATGTTTGTAGTGATTATTGATTGTTACGTACCTGCAGATGGAAATGAGCTATTGGCTATAATCTGGCATAATTCATCTCTTCTCTTTTCTGAGATCAATGTATTTGTATGCATGGTCCTCTTTGAAATAAATACATAGTGTGTGCGTACACGTGTGTGAGTGTGTGTGTGTGTTTGTACCTCACTCTCTCGGGGTAATACTGAGCCATGTTCCACACCAGAGCGCCGCCCCAGTCGTGCCCCACCAGCGTGACCTGTGGCATCGCCTGCAGAAACACACAAAACAAAAGCTTATTTTTAAACTGCAATCAATTTAATTTACTTTATTTTTAAAAAGTGCTTCACTCAGTGTGTATGAACTCACCATTTTGTCCATAAATGTGATTAAATCCTGGAGAAAAAGCACGTTTTGTGGGGTTTAGTACTCTTCTTCGTAACATCGTTTCATATTATGTACTGAAGAGGTGTGTGTGTGTGTGTGTGTGTGTGTGTGTGTGTGTGTGTGTGTGTGTGTGTGTGTGTGTGTGTGTGTGTGTGTGTGTGTGTGTGTGTGTGTGTGTGTGTGTGTGTGTTACCTTGCAAAGCTGCTCCTGGGAATACTCCTCTATGTCTGTCAGTGGTAAAAACAACGTTGAAATAATTATTTTGTAGTTCTTGCTATCTATATATGTAGTTAATCATTGACTATACATCTACGGTGGCCCTGAGGGTCAAAACATAACATTTCAACTGTTTTGTGAATTATTTTAGTTGTTTTTTATATGTTTCTGTGAGTTGTGTAAAATGTGTTTTTTTGTGAATTAATTAGCATTTTGATCATCGTTGTTGTGTTTTGACCTTCAGGGCCACCGTATTACGGCTGCATGTGCAGGTGGTTCACCTGGAGGCGCGGTGGACTCCCCGAACCCCTTCATGTCCAGAGCCAGAACCCTGAAGCCAGCGGCCGCCATGGCAGGGATCTGCAGCAGAGACAGGTACCAAACTGTTATGGGATGTATATGAAATGGTTGTTGTTTTATTATGCATGCTTGTTGTTGGGAAGATACTGAATGTCCTCTTCCAACATGAGAGTAACATGATAACAAAGGTATCCCAACTGTAGCTGTGAACATGACAGGATGTATGATTACCTAGAAGAGCATCAGGACTGTTTGAGGCATATGATAGCTATGTGATTAACATGATGATTCAGCCTCTATGGAGATAGACATATGACAAGCATGCTCATTTCTGACGTGGAGCTAATCTGAAGTAAACATTGAATACTGCTTTCTATTCCTCCATCTTGTGACTGTGTAACTCCCTCTCTTGGATATCAGCATGTGAAGGACACTGTTCAGGAACTAGCTGATGCTCTGTATGTGATGACTACTTCCATTCTGGAGAGGATCACAGATACATGGATCCTGAGATTGAAGCTCAAGCCGGTGATGGTGTCTGTCTAACACTTGTGCTTTATGAAAGGTTGTGTTTCATGTTACCTGGAACCTCCAGGAGAACCAGCTCTCAGGGAAGCCGTGGCACAGCAGGACGGGCGGACCTGAGCCCATTTCAACAAAATGGGTCCTCACACCGGGCTGACACGTGAGAAATATTACCGTTAAACATACAGGAAACAACATCTACACTGTGGTTTACTCTCTTCTTGAACAGATGATTACCCTGATGGTAACGAATCCATGAGACACTTCCTCAGGGCTGCAGGAGGGCGGAGGACTCTCTGCTCCATCAGCCTGAAACACACATTCACCTTCACTAAAACACAAGTCATCTCTAACAGACATAACTCCTTGTCTGCATGGGCTTACATTGCATATTTATCTTGTGTTTAAATATGCAAATGAGGCGTTATGTGATGCTAACTTTAAGTAATCTTTCTACAAATAGACAGAGATGCTCAAATAAACCTCTAAATGGACATGCTTTAGCCTGTCTCGCCGTAATCCACCCTGATGTGTCTTTATCAATGCCCAGTCGTGTTGTGTCCTTCCTATAAAGCAGAAAGGTAGGAACTGACCACACCTGAACTCCTGTGAAGTGGGCCAGTTTCTTCAGAGCGTCGTCCAGGTTTTCCACCAAGATGGCCTTCATCCCCACTCCCTCTGCTGCCTTCACACCTTCCTCATCTGCATCCAGCCACACGGCCTGAGAGGAGACGGGCTGATCAAACTGTGCTGACCGTCTGCACACGTTACTAACACTACCTTTAAGGAGGTTTTTATCTGGTGCATCCGGGCTTGGCTGCAGTCAGATGTGTACTCTTTGTGTACTTTTGTACACTGAGAACCAAACGCTGTATGTTAAGGCTCACAACGTTAAGAGCAAGAAGACTTCGCTTCCTGTTTCCATGATTTTACAAGCTGGAAATATTAGGCATGTTGTTGCATTAGCAAAGCTCCTCTTCCAAGTTAACAGTAAATATAGAAAGATGGTCTAGGTTTGGGTTGATGGATTACTGAACAGGTCCAATGTGCTGCAGAGAGCTAAAACAAAAACCCTGCTGAACTCAATATTTTGTACAATTTCATGACTTTAGCGTATGCGCCGCTCACCTGTTGTGACGTCACTCCCAGGTGCTTCAGAGCGCACCTGAACATGGCGGGCTCAGGGACCATGTGACCTGAGCGACACGACTGGAGGACCAGGTCGAAACGGCCGCCAAGCAGCGAGAGCAGATGGGCGGGGCCATCTCCTGCTGCGCTGTCATCCAGCCAATGATTGGCCAGCACGGCTGTCAGTAACCCTGATTGTTAGAAAAATATCACTGGTCACCGGCTTGAGCTTCAATCTCAGGATCCATGTATCTGTGATCCTCTCCAGAATGGAAGTAGTCATCACATACAGAGCATCAACTAGTTCCTGAACAGTGTCCTTCACATGCTGATATCCAAGAGAGGGAGTTACACAGTCACAAGATGGAGGAATAGAAAGCAGTATTCAATGTTTACTTCAGATTAGCTCCACGTCAGAAATGAGCATGCTTGTCATATGTCTATCTCCATAGAGGCTGAATCATCATGTTAATCACATAGCTATCATATGCCTCAAACAGTCCTGATGCTCTTCTAGGTAATCAGACATCCTGTCATGTTCACAGCTACAGTTGGGATACCTTTGTTAGCATGTTGCTCTCATGTTGGAAGAGGACATTCACTATTTTCCCAAACAGGTGTGTGAACAGGTGTTTGCAGATGTACCTCTGTGGTGCAGACGGGCAGCTATCTGTAACACGGCTGGTTGGACGTCCATCATGGCCTCTTGGAGCTCCTTCAGCAGACCTTTCACTGACCAATCAGACGGCAGAGACACACCCTGGACTTTGGCCTCCTTCAGACACTCTGCTTCGAACGCTGGTATCATCTATACACACACACACACACACACACACACACACACACACACACACACACACACACACACACACACACACACACACACAGTAAATGAGTAAAGTAGGTTATTGTGGAAGTGAATGCACTCATGACCTCCCGTCACCCACCTGAGAAAGGGTCATCTCGCCTCGCTCTGCACGGATCATGGCGCTGTCCTTTTTGGACGCCACGCCGCACAGAAAACCTCTGGAAACATGAAGATTACAGATAATTATAAGGAGCGTTTTGGCGTGAATGTGAGTGTGTGAGGTGACCGTAAAAGGGAGGTTAAACATACAGAAGCATTAGGTCATATATGAGAGTAGAAAGACTCTCCTAATGTTTTATTCATTTACTTATATGATATTTATTCCTCTTTAAATGTCCAAATGTACTATTTTACTGATTTAATCCTTTTAATTCCACTCCACAGACGGCTGTTTCTAGTGTTTAACATCCAACATGAATTGAAGCTGGTAAATCTTCATCAGTTTTATAGTACCAGCAACCCTATGTAGTTATATAAACACAGTACAGTGCTAAAGTTCAACATGCTTTAAGAGTAACCACAGTTCAAATCCTACCAAAGTATTTGACTGCCTCCACTGACACATTGCAGTCAATACAGACAAGTTCTAGTTTTAGTAAAGATGTATTAACACAACTTCAACTTATCCAGATCACTCTTTCGTACACAGTTTAAAAAACAAGAGTATTTTACAAGATCTACTCTCGTGCAGTAGCATTTGTTCCCACGGTTTGATCAGATTTGCTCGTGTCAGTGCAGACATGTGGTGTAGAAGTCGTCTCCTTACCCTGGCAGATTGTGCACCTCCTCCAACGTTTGGAAAACTTCCTGAGGAGTGGAAGAGGCAGTAACTCCCCAGAAGTTGAACAAGACGGCTTTCTTCTCGGCCATGTCGAACCTTTTCTTAATGTCTGTGTGTTTCCGTCTCCCAACAGGAACGTGTTTCCTCTGCTGCTGCAGGGAGCTTCTGGTCGTGCCTGAGGGGAAACGTTGCCCTTTGTACACGCTCACTACACACTCACTACACACTCACTTTGTACACACTCACTACACACTCACTTTGTACACACTCACTACACACTCACTTTGTACACACTCACTTTGTACACACTCACTACACACTCACTTTGTACACACTCACTACACACTCACTTTGTACACACTCACTTTGTACACACTCACTTTGTACACACTCACTACACACTCACTTTGTACACACTCACTACACACTCACTACACACTCACTTTATACACACTCACTTTGGACACACTCACTACACACTCACTTTGTACACACTCACTACACACTCACTATGTACACACTCACTACACACTCACTTTGTACACACTCACTACACACTCACTTTGTACACACTCACTACACACTCACTTTGTACACACTCACTACACACTCACTACACACTCACTTTGTACACACTCACTACACACTCACTTTGTACACACTCACTACACACTCACTTTATACACACTCACTTTGGACACACTCACTACACACTCACGACACACTCACTTTATACACACTCACTTTGTGCACACTCGCTCTGTGCACACTCGCTTTGTACACACTCGCTCTGTACACACTCACTTTGTGCACACTCGCTCTGTGCACACTCGCTCTGTACACACTCACTACACACTCACTTTGTACACACTCACTACACACTCACTTTATACACACTCACTTTGGACACACTCACTACACACTCACGACACACTCACTTTATACACACTCACTTTGGACACACTCACTATGTACACACTCACTACACACTCACGACACACTCACTTTATACACACTCACTTTGTGCACACTCGCTCTGTGCACACTCGCTCTGTACACACTCGCTCTGTACACACTCACTTTGTGCACACTCGCTCTGTGCACACTCGCTCTGTACACACTCACTACACACTCACTTTGTACACACTCACTACACACTCACTTTATACACACTCACTTTGGACACACTCACTACACACTCACGACACACTCACTTTATACACACTCACTTTGTGCACACTCGCTCTGTGCACACTCGCTCTGTACACACTCGCTCTGTACACACTCGCTTTGTACACACTCGCTTTGTACACACTCACTCTGTGCACACTCACTCTGTGCACACTCACTTTGTACACACTCACTACACACTCGCTTTGTACACACTCACTTTGTACACACTCACTACACACTCACTTTGTACACACTCACTCTGTGCACACTCACTCTGTGCACACTCACTTTGTACACACTCACTACACACTCGCTTTGTACACTCTCACACAGCAGAAACGTCCCCAGTCTGCTCACCCTCTGCGTGAAGCTGCACACACAGTCTCATGCAGAGCTGGGAAGTAAGTACTGTTATGTCAAGTCTTGGACCTTCTCAATATAACTATGATTTAATTACAGTTTCCAGATATTGGAAGAGGCCTATGAGTCTCTTTGCTAATTCTCAATGGTCTTTGCAATTAACAGCAGATGTACCCATGTTAAGTAAATTGGCAAAGGTCAGAGGAACTCCAAGAGAGGTCTTCCTCAGATATAATACAGTTAAAGTCTTGTTAGTTAGTGGTTCATATCCAGCATGCATTAGCTAAGAAACGATAAGGATGTTGGTGTGTTAGTTAATGTAAAGAAATGTATGTGCGCTCATGTGCAGACGATATATAGTTTGTTAATTGGATAATTCATATCCTGCAAGGCTCCTAAAGACTTCATGAGATAATGACCTTTTGACATCTGTAACTTACATGTTGCTCTGATGTTGGTGCGTCCAAGTTTAGGAGACCTGACAATGTGTGTGCGTTAAACATGATTAGAAAACATGTTCGTGTGTCATTTAGAAAACCTATATAAACCCTGGGTTTTATTGTGTTCGAGGGACCATTTCTGCGATTGGTTGCTTTTGAAGCAAGGTAATGTTTCCCCATTGTTGTTTGGTGGTGCGCAACTAAATAATGATTAATCTCAACTATTTCTGTGTCTGTGTTTCATTGATTCCTCTGTTTCATTCTTTCATGTTGTGTGAGTACTTGGATCGCCACAACAGTACATTTACAAAAGTACTCTACTAAAGTACATTTTGAGGTACTTTACTTGATTATGTCCATGTTATGCTACTGTGTACTTCTTCTCCACTACAGTTCAGAGGTAAATTATAGTCTACTTTTACTCCACTACATGTATTTAATACATTTAGTTACTTTACAGATCTGGATGAATGATGTGAAATATAATACTATATTAGTATACAAGTACTTCTACTCAAGATCTGAGTACTTCTACTTCTACTCAAGTACAAGATCTGAGTACTTCTACTTGTACTAAAGTACAAGATCTGAGTACTTCTACTTGTACTAAAGTACAAGATCTGAGTACTTCTACTTGTACTAAAGTACAAGATCTGAGTAACAAGATCTGAGTACTTCTACTTTTAAAGTATCAGCTCAACAACTTGATTGTTTTCTGGTCCAATAGTGGCATCTTGTGGATATCAGAGGACGCTACGAGCATTCAGAGTTAATGTGCATTGTTACGTTCCCTCCAAAATCTAGGGGTACGAAGGGGAGTAACAAAACACAGAACGACCAGCACGAGAAAAAAGAGAGGAAACTGATCTCTTTTTTCCACACGAGATTTAATCCAACAATAATATAGACAACCAGGTCCCACACAGAGACCCAAGACGACGTGCTGCACCCATGCAGCCAGAGGAGAAAAGGGAGTGTGACTGCAGCCTTCCTCAGGTCCTATATGGAGGCCCTGATTGGGGATTTGGAGCACCTGGGAGAGAGGCTGCACCTGGGGACAATCAGGCTGCACCTGGGGAATCAGAGGGAGAGAGAGAAAGACACACACAAACACTACGGCACGTAACAACCCCCCCCCATAAAACCAAACAAGTGTTTGGCCACAGTTACCAAAAACACTCAGACTATTGGACATGATCGTGACCCATCGTAATCGTAATCTCACCCACAGTACAGTACATCGGCCACCACATTATCTGCTCCCCTCTTGTGCTTGATGACGATATTGTAGTCTGGGTGCTGGTCTTTTGACTTTTCCGTTGTCTGCTTGGAAGCTGCCACCTGCTGCTTCCAAGCTACACACCCTGCCACTAGATGACCAGGATCAAGACAAAAGAAACATAACCTCTTGGGACCTCGAGTTCTGGTCAAAACACCACCTGCAAACACCTCCGGATGAGTCTGAGCTAGGTCACCACCTGCAGCACCAGGGACTGAAACGTCTAGAACCTCAGCAGTAGGATACACTTTACCCCCGGCTATATCGTTACCCATTATGAAATCCACTCCGTCGACAGGAAACTTGGGCAGCACAGCAACTGGAAAGAAACCAGTAGCCAGTTTAGACTGTACCTGGATCTTGTGAAGAGGTGCAGGCACACAACCCATCTCAATACCTCTTACCACCGCACTTGCATCACAGGCAGACTCAGCACTCAAGGGCAGAACACTGGCAAGAATGAACGACTGTGAGCCACCACTGTCTCGTAACACCGTGACCTGCCGCTGGTCCTCCACCTTTCCTGACAGAGAGACAAAAGCAGTAGAGATGAACGGTTTCAAACACTCATCAGGCCCTTTGTTAACAGTGGCCCGTCCACTATGACACACTGCTGTAACCAATCCCACCCCCTCTAAGTGCTTGCCAGCCGCTGTCTGCTCTCGCTTCCAACCTGCACAGTCTGCTATCACATGACCTGGGTCATGACAAAAAAAGCAAGCTCCGTTTAGCCTGGGATCTAACACTGGAACACTGGCACAGGGAACGTAATTGTCAGGAGCTCTACGATAAGTGTCTCGCTGAAAAAAAACGCTCTTGTGTATCAGTGCAAACTCGTCTGCCAGAGTGGCAGCCTGCTGAAGGGTAGTTACTTTCTGCTCGTTCAGGTAGACTACCGTACGCTCAGGCACACAGTTCTTAAACTCCTCTAACATCATTAGCTCACACTGAAGTAATGTCGTCAGCTTTACAAGCTCTACACCACCTGTCAAAGAGGACTTTCTTCTCCCTCGCGAAGTCCACGTAAGTTTGGCCAGAAGTTATCAGGCCGCGAAAACGCTGCCTGTAGGCCTCAGGCACAAGCTCATATGCCCTGAGAACAGCACCTTTAACATTCTCATACACTAAACTATCCTCGACAGAAAGAGAAGAGCAAGCTTCTTGAGCCTTGCCGACTAGCTTACACTGTAAAAGAATAGCCCACACGTCTTCTGGCCAGAGCAGAGCAGCAGCAATGCGCTCAAATGCACCAAAATAGATCTCCACCTCTGATTCACGAAACACAGGGACCAAAGAAATATGCCTACTCACGTCGAAGGAGGCAGCAGGACCAGAAGATGTAACGGCAGAATCACCCCCCCCAGCTGCCTGAAGCTCTAACTGACGCATCCGGACAGCAGTGTCTGCCTCCACTTTCCTGATCTCCAACTCCGACTTCCTGATCTCCAGCTCCCTCCTGAGCTGAAAATCCCTATCACGCTCCTCCTTCTCCCACTGTAGACGAGCCATACGCACTTTTACCCTGGCATCTAATTTAGACCCCGTAGGTGAGGACCCTGCCGAAAACGAGTCCAACTGAGGCATGTTGAAAAGTTTTGCCTGTTCCGTAGTACTCTGAACACCTGGAGTAACACCAACGCGGCCTCCACCAGGAGACTCTGCTGCTACAGCCCCGGCCACCGTTCCAGGAGATTCCACTGAAGTAGGCAGACTCAAAACCCCCTGTTCAACCAGTCCAGTTATCAAAGTAGCCTTGAGTTCACTTTTAACAAGAGCAGAGGAGACAGAAACGTGATAATGGTCAGCAACTAACCGCAAATCAACCTTCCTACACCAGTCTAGCTGACCCACAGTAGGACTGGCCACAAACTGCTCCAAAACAAAAGCCATCCTTAGCAACGGCTACTTACAATTGTTCTTTCTTTTTTTTTTTTAAACAAACTTCCCCAGATCCTGCCTACCAAACTTACCTAACTATCTTCTGGAGCGTGCCGGGCTCGAGGCGACTTTAAAGGCAAACATCAGCGGCCGAAACCCTGAAACGCCTGCCCCAACAGGGGCAATGCTACCAAACACAATGTCAACGCTAAACCACAAACAGATACTCACTCTTTGTCTCAAAGATTGGACGAGCCCCCATTTGTTACGTTCCCTCCAAAATCTAGGGGTACCAAGGGGAGTAACAAAACACAGAACGACCAGCACGAGAAGAAAGAGGAAACTGATCTCTTTGTTCACACATGAGATTTAATCCAACAATAATATAGACAACCAGGTCCCACACAGAGACCCAAGACGACGTGCTGCACCCATGCAGCCAGAGGAGAAAAGGGAGAGCGACTGCAGCCTTCCTCAGGTCCTATATGGAGGCCCTGATTGGGGATTTGGAGCACCTGGGAGAGAGGCTGCACCTGGGGACAATCAGGCTGCACCTGGGGAATCAGAGGGAGAGAGAGAAAGACACACACAAACACGACGGCACGTAACAGCATACAGGTGCGGTTGTGCATCAAAAGTGAAAGTAATGCAAACCAGGGAGGATTCAGACATTGAGCACGAGGCTGTACCGTTGGATTCATGAAAAACGTCGACATCTTACCTCAGAGAGAAATCCCTGAAGCTCTCTCTGTGCCACACAGGTAAGTTTAATAAAGAAGAACAGGACAAACAGCGTTTTAGCTATCTTTCATATGAACAGAGCACACAGGCCTACTCTTGTCTTCCCGATATCATCGCACAAGGAATCATTCATTTAAAGACACAACCTGTGGATGATCATTATGTTTTCAACTTGTATTACTTTAGTTATTAGCTCTTCACCCTGTTTTAAGATTTCAGTGTGTTTTAGTTAACTTATTTCCCAACTATGCTCAAAGTGTATCAGAAACATAGATATTATATATCTCAGGTATCAGAGCAGAGCATTAATCCAGCACCAAACTTGTGAAAATGGCCCATAACGTTTGATTTGTGAAGAAAATGTGATAAATTGCTTTTGTCACGTCCTGTAGTGGTTAGGGTTTATTTTGAATGGAACAGCCGGATGTGACAGTACTAACGGAAACATTAACCAAAACGTTAACGGACGGAACTCACAGTGTTAAATTATTCAGTTTAATGGGGGTTAATGATGTCTTATTATTTTACCTGCGTCGAAAAACACCCAAAGAAGATGTACGTCACTCATTTATTTGTAAGTATTTTCAGAATGTTATATTTTTGATGTAATAAGTTAGCTAACTGTGTAGCTTTAAGCAATATAGCATAAAGTTAACGGTTCTAATAACGTCACTGATGGATTTACAAACTGCCAAGCTAACAGTTACCTATTTATTTAAAAAGGAAATTATACTACTAATTAACTCATATTTGTAAATGTGTACCTTGTATTTGAGGTTTAAGGGTAATAAACGTTAAAGTAAATATACTAGTTTGTACTTGTAACAGACAGCTAACGGTTTTCCTTAACAGCATTGACCTGGACTGTGTTCAGAATCAGAATTCCTTTATTCGTCCCACAGAGGAGAAATGTACTATTGTTACAGCAAAGAGACAAAGATAGCTTAATATCTCTCAAGAAGCATGCATAAAGAAATGATATATATTAAAGATATAATACTAGGAATACACAATTTACAAGATCTACATCCAGCAACAATAACAGTTTAGCGATATAGCAGCCAGGTGAAAGTATAAAAGGTGGTAGTATACATTTCACAGCTATTTACGGTAAATATATATTGCACATGAGTAGTATTGCACAACAGGAGTTTAATAGTCTTTGTTATATGTGTGTGTGTGGGGATTTATATGTTCAGAGACTTGTATGTTAGAACATTTCAAGTGTTGACTGGTGGTGAAAAAGCATGTTACTGTTTTGACTAGTACTGTTCACACTAGGACAAAACAGCTATCCATTTTCTTTGTATTGGCACGTAACAACTTGTTGGCATGAATTCAATGTTTTGTGTGAGTTACTTAATTTGCATACGTGCAACAGAGTTGTGATGAAACAGTTGTAACCATTACACATAGAGTTAAGAGAAGGTCAAGACTGTTTAAAGAAGTGAGCCAATGAGAAAAACTGTATCATTGACGCCAGATCCTCCCCCCTGCTCTTCTTATCTGCCCTGAATTTATTTTATTCCTTTTAGATCTACAGATTTACGTTATTTTTTGGATGTTAAACAAAAGAGTTCATATTACATTTCATTCAACCATTCTTTTGTTCTCTAGATCATTGAAGTTGAAGCAGAAGACACCGAAGTACTGAAACATGGCTTCTACAACACAGTCACCTGTAGAGTACGTCAGGGGGGCCAGACGCCATCTTGTGAAAACATTAAAGAATCAGTCAGTGATTCTAGAGAACTTGAAACAGCAAGGAGTGTTACGTGACGAAGAGGTCTGCATAATACAAGCAGAAGGGAATGACTACAATAAAAACAGAAAACTTCTAGACTCTGTAACCGATAAGGGGGAGAAAGCCAGCTATATATTTCTCGAAATTATTTACATGATGAGGAAGAGGACCCTGGGGAGGACATCGCTTCTCCCTGAGAAACAGACTGTAGCTTCTGCTGAGAGCGAGACGTTCGACCTGCACCACTGGATCAGCTGCTTCGCTTTCAAGGAAGACGCACAAATGGGAAAAAACTACCTACAAGGTACGTAATATAGTTATATAACTAATATAGAAAGTGTATCAGGTCTTCATTGCTGATGTTTGATGGGCAGTGTCATCTGGAAATATGCATCCACTATTTAGTATGAGGGTACAGCATGCAATTTACAATATTTATTTACTTACTGTTGTTTTTATTTTAGGTCCAACACCGTGCCACCGTTACCAGGCAAAGTTGAAGTCAAAAGCACAACAAATATCAAAAGCGTTTTGGACGGCAAACAAAGATCTGTTTGAAGGAAACAACAAGCCTGATCTGTCGTACATGCCACTTGTATTGGACACACAAGGAAGTGTTTCTGCCTCTAAAATAAAGAAATTTAAGAGCAAGAAAAGCAGGATGAGCCGTCCTAAAAAGCTAGGGACCTACATCCCTAAGGACAAAGCAGACATTTCTCCCAGTGACCTGCTTAAAACAGATAAAAACATACTCTTGGTTGGTAAGTCTGGGATTGGAAAGACAGCACTCGTTCATGAAATGTTAAAACTCTGGACAGAAAAAGATGACAAGGAGCTAAACTACATGTTTTACTTTGACATGAGAAACATATCCAACATCAAGAGCCTGGAGGAACTTCTCTTCAATGAGTTCAGTGAGCCAGATGAAGGCAAAGACGAGGTCTTACAGGACATAAAGAATAACTCTGACAATGTTACACTCATTTTTGATGGAATCACAGATCTGTCACAGTCTTCACCAGTAGTGCAGAGACTTGTAGATAAAGATTTGCTACAATACTCCAAGGTCGTTTTGACTTGCAGACCAGCTGATGAAGACCACCTTCTGTCTGAGGACTTTCTCAGAGTGGAAGTGAAAGGCTTTAGTGAGCAGACCATAAAAACATACATATCTGCGATGCTACGTGAGGGAAAGGAGAGGGTTTTGAGCAACGTGGAGTTGTTCACGCTTTGCCATGTACCGATGTATGCACTGATGGTGGCTGCATGCTTTTTATGTGAGACATCAGAGGACTTTCAAAAGCCTTGCTGTATAACTGATATCTACATCAACATTTTCCGTTTTTGCCTCAAAAGAAACAGCAACACAAAATACATTGATCTAAATGCCTTCATCGAAAGCAAGAGTGAGGAGATACTGTCTTTGGCTGAGGTTGCTTTTCGTGCAACTGAAGGAAAAACTGTGAACCTGACACTACGTCCCTCTGGAGAGAGCCATGTCCTCTCCTTGCTCAAACAACTTGCCATCAAAGTCGCACGAAGCCGTACTAAGAGAATAACCACCTATGCATTTCTCCATTACACAATGCAGGAGTTTTTTGCAGCACTGTGGCTCTTGAAGAATCCAGATTTAATCAGTAATGTTTTTCAGCAATGCCTCACTGAGGAGAAGAAGCACATGAAACATCTGATCCCTTACATGTGTAGATTGTTGACTGAGGAGAGCCCTAGTTTGATGGAGTATCTGATTCCTGCGGAGGAGCTCAAGAATACATCAAACTGGTTCTTCAAGGAAGTGATATCCACATTCCTTCCTAGTCTGTGTGAAAACGATGAGCCTGAGCCTGAGGACAGTGGGCGCATACTGTTCCTATGCCAGTGCTTGTTTGAGTCCCAGTGTCCTGAAGCATGCATCAACCTTCTGGAAAAACTGGAGTATCGTCTTGACCTCAGTGGAGAGAGTCTCGATCCTTACCCCTGCTGTGCTGTGGCCTATGTGATCACTCAGTCCAAGGAGAGGAAAATATGGCTGAACCTTGAGGACGTCACGATATCACAACAAGGAATGAGACCACTATTAGGATGCCTTCAAAATGTCCAATGGTATGGATGAGCAGTTATTATTACGGCTAAGATTACAACACTTCTAATTTGGTAGAATTGAATTGTTCAAAGTTGTAACCTTTAATATATATATACAGAAGTAATGAGAAAGTGATAGCTGATTATTCTTCATATTGCAGGTGTGATTCTCTGCCACGGCAGCTGTGGGAGATCTTCCTTCTCAGCGAAGGGGAGATGGACTACATCACCTTACTTGGCCTTGATGGAAATCAGTTGCACCTTCCAGTGGGGGGGGACAGAAAGCTGTTTGAAAGAGCAGTGACAGTCCTGCAGAAGATAAGTGAGAAGGTTAACATCTGCCTCCACTGGGAAAGGGAGAAGCCTGACTGCCACAGTCTGTGTGAGACTCTGCTAGAGGCTTTGCCCTACGTCAGCTCACTCAGGTATGAAGCTTATGTTTCTGTGTGGTGGGATTCACCCCCCCCCCGCCCCCCCTACGAACCACATACACATCTTTAGCTTCCAAACTCCACTGGAATTTATTTAAACATTATAATTTATAAAACTGCAACTTCTTATTTAACACAACTAAATGCATAATAAAGTGACGAATCATCTTCACAGTGGAATTATTAAAAGTCTAACTGTGTAATACTTAGGGTTGGGGATCGTTTGGATTTTAGAGATTCCGGTTCAGATTCCGGTTCTTTGAAAAAACAAGTCACATGCCAATTTAACAGATATAAACATTGTTTTATGAACCTTTAGTAAAATAGCGGAAATGGTGGTCAAACAATATTGGATCTAAAACTTTGAATAGGTTTCATTACGCTAAAGTTGACGGGTGTTTAACGAGCAGCCGTGTGTGTACTGAGAGAGAAAGAGATGCAGCTCACTAAACCAGCTCCCTGAGAGATAGAAAAGGAACCTGAACATTTTCTTTTACAAAAAATACACCTTTAACCACCACATCTTTTCAGTGACTGGTGTGGGCTTGCCTTTTGCTGCAGATATACTCAAATCGGCGTTGCAGCTGTGAGCTCAAGCATGCCTCATTCATTTGCCTGGTCACGCCCCCCCCCACACTTTGGGAACCACTGCCTTAAGTTTTATCCTTGTGTAAGTGTGCATGTTGAAATCTAAATCTTAGTTTTTTTGGTGGGAAAGTCTTCATTGCATTCTGAAATGTGGATCAGCGTTAAGGTTAAACTCAGCCTAATCACAGCAGAAATTAGGTCAGATTTTATGTATGTCTTGTATTCAATGCAGCAATTTAAATGCAGATTTTCTTTTCACCCTTTCTTTTTAACACTTATTAGTCAGCATTCTTAAAAACTATAAATAGACAATAAACATAGTTTGAATAAGTAAGTACTGCATCAGTATTTTTTTAGAATCAGGCAGGGCTCTTTGTTTCAGTTGAATCTGAACTTTTATCTCTTATGTTGACATCCAGAATTGTACTGTCTCAGCAATTCTTCAAAAGCTGTGGAGAATTAAATATTGCAATTGCATTTGATATTAAACATTAGCACAGTATTAACAGCTGTAACTTTGTTTTACATTTACATGTACAGTTTATACAGTTCTACAGTACATGCAATGACACATGTGTTTGTTATCATGCAGCTTCAGGATGACCCTCAGAGGTGCAGGATTACAGGACCAGGAGCGATGCTATGAGACACTGAAGAGACAAGAAAAGCAGCTGTTTCTGGATTTATGCCTGAAAGCAGCTACTCACTTTCAAGGAGAAAGCGTTCACAATGAAGTGAACAACCTCATCTCTCTGTTTTCTTTTAACTATGATATGCATAACATCCTTCTGGATTTGTATCAACATGTCAAAACTCAAGAGAGTTCAGCTGTCATTCAAAAACTGAAGCCATTTTTCCAGTCAGTTCCTGCATTTTGGTTCATAAACCTCTCAGAGAGAAAGACCTCCATCCTGCTGGAAGTGCTGAGACTCCAACCAGAGAAGAAACAAGTGGAGCTGAGACGCTGCTCAGATAAAGAGAGTGAAGTGAGGACTTTGCTGCAGTGTCTGCCTTATATCTCACAGCTCAGGTAAATGGTAATCTGCAGATTCAATTTAACATAATTTAAACCACAGCTGATGGAGAAAAGTTTGTATTTGATAGAAGCCTAACATCACAATCTCTTGATTCCTTGTGTTTTCAGTTTTGTGCCTCAGTCATCAGAACCTTCAGGTGAACTCCAGTTCTTTGGGACTCTGTTCTGTGCAGCAGCAGAGAGAGAGCAGCAGACAGGAGAGAAGACACTGCTGCTGTTGTTATCAGTGTGCACATATCAAACAATAACTTTAAACGACATAGTTTCTTATTATTTGAAGAGGAACCCTCAGAGTGATTTCCTGCTGGATCTGTACTCCCACCTGAAGGACTATGAGACTGAAACAGGTCTGAGTGTCCTTCCATCATTACAGTCTGTTCTCCAGTCAGCTCCTGCAGTCTGGATCATAAACCTCTCAGAGAGAAAGACCTCCATCCTGCTGGAAGTGCTGAGACTCCAACCAGAGAAGAAACGAGTGAAGCTGAGAGGCTGCTCAGATGGAGAGAGTGAAGTGAGGACTTTGCTGCAGTGTCTGCCTTATATCTCACAGCTCAGGTTGGTGGGACCATTACTGTTTATTTTATGATATTGATTTTTCTATGTGGATTTCTTAAGAAATACAAAAATAAATGACATCTGATTATGGGCAGTGTTTCAGAAAGAGACAATAGTCCTTCACTTCTGAACATGATGTAGATGAATAACATTTCCCAGTTCAGTCATTATTTGAAACCACAGTCTTCTACCAGTTTGAGAATAATGAAATGATGTGAATCCTAATGAGAGAACTTAAGCTCTGAGACAGCAGCACCATCATGCTCATGCCTCATTCAGAAATAAAGACACATACGAACATAAATAAACTTGCTGATAAAACTGCCATCAGCTTTTTAACATATCTCTGTTTTAATTTAAATAAAGAGCAATTAAAAGTATAAAGGCACAACAAGTAATACTACATGTATCTACCTCTTTAACGGATACTAGCTTCAACTTTACTGACTCTAATGAAACTTCTAAAGACTGTTAGTGAGCTTTAAATACAGATTTCAGACACATGAACAATCCTAACTTCTAGTCATCAGAGACAGAGGAGGTGTTACTAAACTCTGATTCACATGTGTATTATCTCAGGAGCAAAGTGAAGAGTTTCATGATGTGATGTTCTCTGCTACATGATAGGGACTCTAGATGTTGTTGTTCCACTTTTTACATTATTATATTGGGAATATCATTTTACATACAAAACTCATTCACAAAGTCAAATCCCCTCAGGTGAACAGAATCATTGGGAAGCAAATGAGAAGTGATTTGAGGAACAGGATTAGTGTCTGTGTTGTGAGTCAGTAGAAGAGCTAAGTGATGACACATGTTGTGGAAAGGTTCATTTACTGAAAGCTTTCCAAAATCCAAATATAATCCTTTTAACAGCAAAGTTACTTCAATATGAGGTTGATGGACTTTACTGTGTTATGCTCACTAGCAGGTATTTGTAGACATTTAGCAGAAACACTCCCTATCAGAGTCTTTCTCTGCTGTTGACATCATCTGATAACAAACTGTTCAATTCTCGTTCCAGTTTCTGGTTTGGAGACTCAGGTGGAGTCCAGTTCTTTGGGACTCTGTTCTGTGCAGCAGCAGAGAGAGAGCAGCAGACAGGAGAGAAGACCCCAGAGCTGTTATCATCAGTGTGCACATATTCATCATTCCCTCTTACTGACATATCTGATCCTGATGATGATGATGATGATGATGATGATGATGATGGTGAAGAATATCAGTGTGATATCCTGCTGGATCTGTACTCCCACCTGAAGGACTGTGAGACTGAAACAGGTCTGAGTGTCCTTCCATCGTTAAAGTCTGTAATCCAGTCAGCTCCTGCAGTCTGGTTCATAGACCTCTCAAAGAGAAAGACCTCCATCCTGCTGGAAGTGCTGAGACTCCAACCAGAGAAGAAACAAGTGGAGCTGAGAGGCTGCTCAGATGCAGAGAGTGAAGTGAGGACTTTGCTGCAGTGTCTGCCTTATATCTCAAAGCTCAGGTTGGTGGGACCATTACTGTTTATTTTATGGTATTGATTTTTCTATGTGGATTTCTTAAGAAATACAAAATAAATGACATCTGATTATGGGCAGTGTTTCAGAAAGAGACAATAGTCCTTCACTTCTGAACATGATGTAGATGAATAACATTTCCCAGTTCAGTCATTATTTGAAACCACAGTCTTCTACCAGTTTGAGAATAATGAAATGATGTGAATCCTAATGAGAGAACTTAAGCTCTGAGACAGCAGCACCATCATGCTCATGCCTCATTCAGAAATAAAGACACATACGAACATAAATAAACTTGCTGATAAAACTGCTATCAGCTTTTTAACATATCTCTGCAGCTTATCAATAATCAGTTGTAACACAAACAAATGTTATTGCACAGATAGAAGAGGTTGCATCTCTTTTAATTTAAATAAAGAGCAATTAAAAGTATAAAGGCACAACAAGTAATACTACATGTATCTACCTCTTTAACGGATACTAGCTTCAGCTTTACTGACTCTAATGAAACTTCTAAAGACTGTTAGTGAGCTTTAAATACAGATTTCAGACACATGAACAATCCTAACTTCTATTCATCAGAGACAGAGGAGGTGTTACTAAACTCTGATTCACATGTGTATTATCTCAGGAGCAAAGTGAAGAGTTTCATGATGTGATGTTCTCTGCTACATGATAGGGACTCTAGATGGTGTTGTTCCACTTTTTACATTATTATATCTGGAATATCATTTTACATACAAAACTCATTCACAAAGTCAAATCCCCTCAGGTGAACAGAATCACTGGGAAGCAAATAAGAAGTGATTTGAGGGACAGGATTAGTGTCTGTGTTGTGAGTCAGTAGAAGAGCTAAGTGATGACACATGTTGTGGAAAGGTTCATTTACTGAAAGCTTTCCAAAATCCAGATATGATCCTTTTAACAGCAAAGTTACTTCAATATGAGGTTGATGGACTTTACTGTGTTATGCTCACTTGCAGGTATTTGTAGACATTTAGCAGAAACACTCCCTATCAGAGTCTTTCTCTGCTGTTGATATCATCTGATAACAAACTGTTCAATTCTTGTTTCAGTTTCTGGATTGGAGACTCAGGTGAACTCTCAGGTGGAGTCAAGTTCTTTGGGACTCTGTTCTGTGCAGCAGCAGAGAGAGAGCAGCAGACAGGAGAGAAGACACTGGAGCTGTTATCATCAGTGTGCACACATCCATCATTCCCTCTTCCTGACGAACGGGGTTATGATGATGATGATGATGAAGAATATCAGTGTGATTTCCTGCTGGATCTGGCCTCCCACCTGAAGGACTATGAGACTGAAACAGGCCTGAGTGTCCTTCCATCATTACAGTCTGTTCTCCAGTCAGCTCCTGCAGTCTGGATCATAGACCTCTCAAAGAGAAAGAGCTCCATCCTGCTGGAAGTGCTGAGACTCCAACCAGAGAAGAAACAAGTGGAGCTGACAGGCTGCTCAGATGGAGAGAGTGAAGTGAGGACTTGGCTGCAGTGTCTGCCTTATATCTCAAAGCTCAGGTTGGTGGGACCATTACTGTTTATTTTATGATATTGATTTTTCTATGTGGATTTCTTAAGAAATACAAAACATAATGACATCTGATTATGGGCAGTGTTTCAGAAAGAGACAATAGTCCTTCACTTCTGAACATGATGCAGATGAATAACATTTCCCAGTTCAGTCATTATTTGAAACCACAGTCTTCTACCAGTTTGAGAATAATGAAATTATGTGAATCCTAATGAGAGAACTTAAGCTCTGAGACAGCAGCACCATCATGCTCATGCCTCATTCAGAAATAAAGACACATACAAACATAAATAAACTTGATGATAAAACTGCAATCAGCGTTTTAACATATCTCTGTTTTAATTTAAATAAAGAGCAATTAAAAGAATAAAGGTACAACAAGTAATACTACATTTAACTACCTATTTAACAGATACTGGCTTCAACTTTACTGACTCTAATGAAACTTCTAAAGACTGTTAGTGAGCTTTAAATACAGATTTCAGACGCATGAACAATCCTAACTTCTAGTCATAAGAGACAGAGGAGGTGTTACTAAACTCTGATTCACATGTGTATTATCTCAGGAGCAAAGTGAAGAGTTTCATGATGTGATGTTCTCTTCTACATGATAGGGACTCTAGATGTTGTTGTTCCACTTTTTACATTATTATATTGGGAATATCAATTTACATACAAAACTCATTCACAAAGTAAAATCCCCTCAGGTGAACAGAATCACTGGGAAGCAAATAAGAAGTGATTTGAGGAACAGGATTAGTGTCTGTGTTGTGAGTCAGTAGAAGAGCTAAGTGATGACACATGTTGTGGAAAGCTTCATTTACTGAAAGCTTTCCAAAATCCAGATCTAATCCTTTTAACAGCAAAGTTACTTCAATATGAGGTTGATGGACTTTACTGTGTTATGCTCACTAGCAGGTATTTGTAGACATTTAGCAGAAACACTCCCTATCAGAGTCTTTCTCTGCTGTTGATATCATCTGATAACAAACTGTTCAATTCCTGTTTCAGTTTCTGGTTTGGAGACTCAGGTGAAGTCAAGTTCTTTGGGACTCTGTTCTGTGCAGCAGCAGAGAGAGAGCAGCAGACAGGAGAGAAGACACTGGAGCTGTTATCATCAGTGTGCACATATCGATCATTCCCTGTTCCTGACAAACAGGGTAATGAAGAATATCAGAGTGGTTTCCTGCTGGATCTGTACTCCCACCTGAAGGACTATGAGACTGCAACAGGCCTGAGTGTCCTTCCATCATTACAGTCTGTTCTCCAGTCAGCTCCTGCAGTCTGGATCATAAACCTCTCAAAGAGAAAGAGCTCCATCCTGCTGGAAGTGCTGAGACTCCAACCAGAGAAGAAACAAGTGGAGCTGACAGGCTGCTCAGATGAAGAGAGTGAAGTGAGGACTTTGCTGCATTGTCTGCCTTATATCTCAAAGCTCAGGTTGGTGGGACCATTACTGTTTATTTTATGATATTGATTTTTCTATGTGGATTTGTTAAGAAATACAAAACATAATGACATCTGATTATGGGCAGTGTTTCAGAAAGAGACAATAGTCCTTCACTTCTGAACATGATGCAGATGAATAACATTTCCCAGTTCAGTCATTATTTGAAACCACAGTCTTCTACCAGTTTGAGAATAATGAAATGATGTGAATCCTAATGAGAGAACTTAAGCTCTGAGACAGCAGCACCATCATGCTCATGCCTCATTCAGAAATAAAGACACATACGAACATAAATAAACTTGCTGATAAAACTGCTATCAGCTTTTTAACATATCTCTGCAGCTTATCAATAATCAGTTGTAACACAAACAAATGTTATTGCACGGATAGAAGAGGTTGCATCTCTTTTAATTTAAATAAAGAGCAATTAAAAGTATAAAGGCACAACAAGTAATACTACATGCATCTACCTCTTTAACGGATACTAGCTTCAACTTTACTGACTCTAATGAAACTTCTAAAGACTGTTAGTGAGCTTTAAATACAGATTTCAGACACATGAACAATCCTAACTTCTATTCATCAGAGACAGAGGAGGTGTTACTAAACTCTGATTCACATGTGTATTATCTCAGGAGCAAAGTGAAGAGTTTCATGATGTGATGTTCTCTGCTACATGATAGGGACTCTAGATGTTGTTGTTCCACTTTTTACATTATTATATTGGGAGTATCATTTTACATACAAAACTCATTCACAAAGTAAAATCCCCTCAGGTGAACAGAATCACTGGGAAGCAAATAAGAAGTGATTTGAGGAACAGGATTAGTGTCTGTGTTGTGAGTCAGTAGAAGAGCTAAGTGATGACACATGTTGTGGAAAGGTTCATTTACTGAAAGCTTTCCAAAATCCAGATATGATCCTTTTAACAGCAAAGTTACTTCAATATGAGGTTGATGGACTTTACTGTGTTATGCTCACTTGCAGGTATTTGTAGACATTTAGCAGAAACACTCCCTATCAGAGTCTTTCTCTGCTGTTGACATCATCTGATAACAAACTGTTCAATTCTTGTTTCAGTTTCTGGATTGGAGACTCAGGTGAACTCTCAGGTGGAGTCAAGTTCTTTGGGACTCTGTTCTGTGCAGCAGCAGAGAGAGAGCAGCAGACAGGAGAGAAGACACTGGAGCTGTTATCATCAGTGTGCACATATCCATCATTCCCTCTTCCTGACAAACAGGGTGATGATGATGAGTTTGATTATGAAGAATATCAGTGTGGTTTCCTGCTGGATCTGGCCTCCCATCTGAAGGACTATGAGACTGAAACAGGTCTGAGTGTCCTTCCATCATTACAGTCTGTTCTCCAGTCAGTTCCTGCAGTCTGGATCATATACCTCTCAAAGAGAAAGAGCTCCATCCTGCTGGAAGTGCTAAGACTCCAACCAGAGAAGAAACAAGTGGAGCTGAGAGACTGCTCAGGTGGAGAGAGTGAAGTGAGGACTTGGCTGCAGTGTCTGCCTTATATCTCACAGCTCAGGTTGGTGGGACCATTACTGTTTATTTTATGATATTGATTTTTCTATGTGGATTTCTTAAGAAATACAAAACATAATGACATCTGATTATGGGCAGTGTTTCAGAAAGAGACAATAGTCCTTCACTTCTGAACATGATGCAGATGAATAACATTTCCCAGTTCAGTCATTATTTGAAACCACAGTCTTCTACCAGTTTGAGAATAATGAAATTATGTGAATCCTAATGAGAGAACTTAAGCTCTGAGACAGCAGCACCATCATGCTCATGCCTCATTCAGAAATAAAGACACATACAAACATAAATAAACTTGATGATAAAACTGCAATCAGCGTTTTAACATATCTCTGTTTTAATTTAAATAAAGAGCAATTAAAAGAATAAAGGTACAACAAGTAATACTACATTTAACTACCTATTTAACAGATACTAGCTTCAACTTTACTGACTCTAATGAAACTTCTAAAGACTGTTAGTGAGCTTTAAATACAGATTTCAGACACATGAACAATCCTAACTTCTAGTCATCAGAGACAGAGGAGGTGTTACTAAACTCTGATTCACATGTGTATTATCTCAGGAGCAAAGTGAAGAGTTTCATGATGTGATGTTCTCTTCTACATGATAGGGACTCTAGATGTTGTTCCACTTTTTACATTATTATATCTAGAATATCATTTTACATACAAAACTCATTCACAAAGTAAAATCCCCTCAGGTGAACAGAATCACTGGGAAGCAAATAAGAAGTGATTTGAGGAACAGGATTAGTGTCTGTGTTGTGAGCCAGTAGAAGAGCTAAGTGATGACACATGTTGTGGAAAGCTTCATTTACTGAAAGCTTTCCAAAATCCAGATATAATCCTTTTAACAGCAAAGTTACTTCAATATGAGGTTGATGGACTTTACTGTGTTATGCTCACTTGCAGGTATTTGTAGACATTTAGCAGAAACACTCCCTATCAGAGTCTTTCTCTGCTGTTGACATCATCTGATAACAAACTGTTCAATTCTTGTTTCAGTTTCTGGTTTGGAGACTCAGGTGAAGTCAAGTTCTTTAGGACTCTGTTATGTGCAGCAGCAGAGAGAGAGCAGCAGACAGGAGAGAAGACACTGGAGCTGTTATCATCAGTGTGCACATATCCAACATTCCCTGTTCCTCACATATATCATTCTGATTATGAAGAATATCAGAGTGGTTTCCTGCTGGATCTGTACTCCCACCTGAAGGACTATGAGACTGCAACAGGCCTGAGTGTCCTTCCATCATTACAGTCTGTTCTCCAGTCAGCTCCTGCAGTCTGGATCATAGACCTCTCAAAGAGAAAGAGCTCCATCCTGCTGGAAGTGCTGAGACTCCAACCAGAGAAGAAACAAGTGGAGCTGACAGACTGCTCAGGTGGAGAGAGTGAAGTGAGGACTTTGCTGCAGTGTCTGCCTTATATCTCAAAGCTCAGGTTGGTGGGACCATTACTGTTTATTTTATGATATTGATTTTTCTATGTGGATTTGTTAAGAAATACAAAACATAATGACATCTGATTATGGGCAGTGTTTCAGAAAGAGACAATAGTCCTTCACTTCTGAACATGATGTAGATGAATAACATTTCCCAGTTCAGTCATTATTTGAAACCACAGTCTTCTACCAGTTTGAGAATAATGAAATGATGTGAATCCTAATGAGAGAACTTAAGCTCTGAGACAGCAGCACCATCATGCTCATGCCTCATTCAGAAATAAAGACACATACGAACATAAATAAACTTGCTGATAAAACTGCTATCAGCTTTTTAACATATCTCTGCAGCTTATCAATAATCAGTTGTAACACAAACAAATGTTATTGCACAGATAGAAGAGGTTGCATCTTTTTTAATTTAAATAAAGAGCAATTAAAAGAATAAAGGCACAACAAGTAATACTACATGCATCTACCTCTTTAACGGATACTAGCTTCAACTTTACTGACTCTAATGAAACTTCTAAAGACTGTTAGTGAGCTTTAAATAAAGATGTCAGACACATGAACAATCCTAACTTCTATTCATTTACTGAAAGCTTTCCAAAATCCAGATATGATCCTTTTAACGGCAGAGTTACTTCAATATGAGGTTGATGGACTTTACTGTGTTATGCTCACTTGCAGGTATTTGTAGACATTTAGCAGAAACACTCCCTATCAGAGTCTTTCTCTGCTGTTGACATCATCTGATAACAAACTGTTCAATTCTTGTTTCAGTTTCTGGTTTGGAGACTCAGCTGAAGTCTCAGATGGAGTCAAGTTCTTTAGGACTCTGTTCTGTGCAGCAGCAGAGAGAGAGCAGCAGACAGGAGAGAAGACACTGGAGTTGTTATCATCAGTGTGCACATATCCAAGATTCCCTCATACTGACGAACGGGGTTATGGAGATGATAATGAAGAATGTCAGAGTGGTTTCCTGCTGGATCTGTACTCCCACCTGAAGGACTGTGAGACTGAAACAGGCCTGAGTGTCCTTCCATCATTACAGTCTGTTCTCCAGTCAGCTCCTGCAGTCTGGATCATAATCCTCTCAAAGAGAAAGAGCTCCATCCTGCTGGAAGTGCTGAGACTCCAACCAGAGAAGAAACAAGTGAAGCTGAGAGGCTGCTCAGGTGGAGAGAGTGAAGTGAGGACTTTGCTGCAGTGTCTGCCTTATATCTCAAAGCTCAGGTTGGTGGGACCATTACTGTTTATTTTATGATATTGATTTTTCTATGTGGATATCTTTAGAAATAGAAAATTAATTACATCTGATTATGGGCAGTGTTTCAGAAAGAGACAATAGTCCTTCACTTCTGAACATGATGTAGATGAATAACATTTCCCAGTTCAGTCATTATTTGAAACCACAGTCTTCTATCAGTTTGAGAATAATGAAATTATGGAACTGCTATCAGTTTTTAACATATCTCTGCAGCTTATAAATAATCAGTTGTAACAAAAACAAATGTTATTGCACAGATAGAAGAGGTCGTATCTCTTTTAATTTAAAGTGGACCTATCATGCTATATTATTATAATATAGCATGATAGGTCCACTTTAAATAAAGAGCAATTAAAAGTATAAAGGCACAACAAGTAATACTACATTTATCTACCTCTTTAACAGATACTAGCTTCAACTTGACTGACTCTAATGAAACTTCTCAAGACTGTTAGTGAGCTTTAAATACAGATTTCAGACACATGAACAAAATCCTAACTTCTAGTCATCAGAGACAGAGGAGGTGTTACTAAACTCTAATTCACATGTGTATTATCTCAGGAGCAAAGTGAAGAGTTTCATGATGTGATGTTCTCTGCTACATGATAGGGACTCTAGATGTTGTTGTTCCACTTCTTACATTATTATATTGGGAATATCATTTTACATACAAAACTCATTCACAAAGTAAAATCCCCTCAGGTGAACAGAATCACTGGGAAGCAAATACGAAGTGATTTGAGGAACAGGATTAGTGTCTGTGTTGTGAGTCAGTAGAAGAGCTAAGTGATGACACATGTTGTGGAAAGGTTCATTTACTGAAAGCTTTCCAAAATCCAGATATGATCCTTTTAACAGCAAAGTTACTTCAATATGAGGTTGATGGACTTTACTGTGTTATGCTCACTAGCAGGTATTTGTAGACATTTAGCAGAAACACTCCCTATCAGAGTCTTTCTCTGCTGTTGATATCATCTGATAACAAACTGTTCAATTCTCGTTCCAGTTTCTGGTTTGGAGACTCAGATGAACTCTCAGGTGGAGTCAAGTTCTTTGGGACTCTGTTCTGTGCAGCAGCAGAGAGAGAGCAGCAGACAGGAGAGAAGACACTGGAGCTGTTATCATCAGTGTGCACATATCCAACATTCCCTCTTACTGACATATCTCATCCTGAGGATGATGATGATTATGATGAAGAATATCAGTCTGATATCCTGCTGGGTCTGTACTCCCACCTGAAGGACTATGAGACTGAAACAGGTCTGAGTGTCCTTCCATCATTACAGTCTGTTCTCCAGTCAGCTCCTGCAGTCTGGTCCATAGACTTCTCAGAGAGAAAGACCTCCATCCTGCTGGAAGTGCTGAGACTCCAACCAGAGAAGAAACAAGTGGAGCTGAGAGGCTGCTCAGATGGAGAGAGTGAAGTGAGGACTTTGCTGCAGTGTCTGCCTTATATCTCAAAGCTCAGGTCAGTCATACTCTATATTTATAATATTAAATGCATTCCTCAGAAAGGTTCGTTAAAAAGATCTAGTAAAAAAATCAACAACACATTGGAAGCAGTTTATTCACTGAAATGGATATTCTGTAGATAAATCAGATTTTTTAGTTTAGTAATGAATTAGCACAACAGACAGAGCAATGCTTTATCACATGGAATACCACACATGCACTTAGACTATGTCATCCTATTTGATTTCCTTTAAATGTCATTCTTGATTAAAGACCTTGCAGATAAGATGGTTGGCAGTGCAGCATTTATTGTACTTGAGCTTTGCCTTCTCACTGTTCATCCATATTGTTGTGTTTCAGCTGTGGTCCAGAGTTCTTCCAGAGAGTGTGTACGCTCATCTCTGTCAGATCCAGAGAGGAGGCTGAGAGGTTGGCCTCTCTGCTGCAGCTCTCAGAGTTCACCCTGCTGCTATCAGGAGAGTTACCCAGGAAAACCTGCCTGTCTGTGGGGAGAGTTCTCCAGCTGTGTGGCTCTAAAGTGGATCTCATCCTCAAACCCAGAACGATGTCTGTCAAGGGAGCCTTTGCTCTCTTCAGACGAACAACACAACTACACAGTCTCAAGTGCGCATTTAAACAGTTACTCTTTTATTGTTATCATGCCATTTCTTTGAATGTTCAGTTAATTCAGGTAATAAAGGTAAATGATGGTACAATTATCTTTCTTTGTTTCCAGGCTTTCTAACGACATGGCCTTGCTGCTGGGTGGCTGGGTGAGGAGATGGGGAGGGGTCCGTCAGGTGACTGTTGAAGAGCTTTCTCTCTCCCCTCAGACCGCCCAACCATCACACAGTGTTGTTGAAGGTTGTCAGTAGCTTGGCTTCCCTGCTGAGATACTGGGCAGTGAGACAGTTAGACCTGACTGAGGTCTGTGTTCCTGCTCTGGGTCTCACACCACTGCTGCTCCATGATGGCCCTCTCAAAATCAAGTAACAGTCTCTCTGGAGCCTCATACACTCACAATGATTCATGCAGATTATATTAATGTTCACATATATTCATACACTGTTTCCTGCAGACTGAGTGAGAAGAATGTCCTGCAGCTACTCTCCCTGCTCCATGAACTCCAGGATGAGGACTTGACCTGGTCCTTCTTGAGTAAGTTAGGAGGAGACCTGACCCCCTTCTCTCTGAACTGGGAGCTTCTCCATCTTCTACTGCAGCATCCATCAGCTCAGACCCTCACTGTGAACATGAGGAAGAACCCCTTCTTACAGGAGAACGTCACACGTCTGCTTCCCTACCTGGACAGGATTGTGTTTAAAAGGTCATCAATAGAGTCGTTTATCCTGTTTTATATTTAAATACATTTAGTTACTTCTTTTACTAAAGTGTGTTCATTCAAACTCTTTCAGTCCCTGTCCCAGCTTTGTGTTGACTGCTATCAGGGAGATTTACAAAGCTCGAGCCAGTTCCATTATACCCAGTTTACTGAGGTCCTTGGATCATGTGATCAACCTGACCTGCAGAGAGATGTCACCAGTGGACTGTGATGCTCTGCTCTACACCCTCACACACAGTGATGGAGTCAAACTGAACCTCCTGTGGACCTCCATACCAGCATGGAAAACACAGTCCATCCTCTGGAACCTGGACAAAGTTTCTCAGCTCAGGTCGGACAAATATAGTTCTAAACGTGTATTGATCTCGGTCCAGCTGTACTTTACCATCCGTCAAACACCAATATCAGTGAATGGAAACAGCAGGGTGGAACAGCACAACACTTTCAGCCACTTATCTTTCGATGTTAAAGAGGCACATTTTTGCAAAGCCAAACCAACAGCAATAAAAACATGTTCTCTTCTTAGCTGGACATCTGTTTCCAACCATTTTGATCTATTATTAATGTGATAAGCACTATGTTCTATTACTGAGAGAAAGGAAGGACAAAACTGCAATAAGACCCCGGTTGATGAGAAACATAATTATAATTAAAAAACATTTTCTCAGTCAATGAAGCTTTCTGGATAAGTGGTTTGTTTAATTGTTATATGTTCTCCCAGTGTTGACAGGAACCTGCTGCTGAGGATGGTCCACGGCTGCGCTGCCTCTGATGCCCAGCAGGGGGCCGCAGAGTCTCTGCTCAGGACTGTGCAGCACAGGCTGGATCTGTCCTGCTCCTCCTGTGTGGAGCTGCCTGAGGAAGATCAGAGTGACACTCTCCGTCTGACGGCTGAAGACTGCAGGGCCGTCTCCACCATCCTGAGACGCAGCAGACAGGGAACACAGCTCAACCTGCAGGACTGTGAGGTTCAGGACAGCGGATTAGAACTGCTGTTTCCTGTCTTACACAAAGTAAAACTCAGGTACGAAGACTACTAAACCAGAGAAGAAGCTGTTTCTATACATCTTTCTGCATCACATCAGTTTGCTCTTTGCTCTGTGTCTCCTGTTCAGAGCCAGTAAAGCTGTCCTCCTGCAGCTGGTGTCCCTGGTTCCTGTGAACAGTGAGAGGGACACAGTGGGACGGGCAGTGTCCCTCTGCAAAGCCCTGGAGGGAGAGCTGGACCTCAGTCACAGCTCACTGGATCAGAGGGCCTGTGCAGCCTTGGCCCTGATGCTGGACTTCTCTGAAGAGCTGACAGAGCTGGACCTCAGTCACTGTCAGCTCACTGACCAGCTGCTGCTCACACTCAGCGCGCAGCTGCACAAAGTGCAAGTCCTCGAGTGAGTGGCAAAGGTGTCCATGTGGAAAATAGGTTTTAGTGGAGGTCATCATTAGTTTGGGGTGTGAATCTCTCTGTTTGATCATTTCATTCAGGGCTTTGTTGACTGAAACCTGTTGTACAAAATCAGTCTGAAGATACGCTGTAATCAGAACTCAGGCAGTCATACGGCGGTGTCAGAAAAGTGAACATAATGTTTGTTTGGACTGTACCTATACTGCCCAGCCGATGTATTACATTACTAAAAGTTCCTCTGTTTGTGTTTGTGTTACAGTCTGAGCCACAACAACATCACTGATGCTTCGACTGACCTCTTACTCCAACTGGTCTCCATCAACCCCTCCATTCACTCTGTGCGGTGAGAAAACCATAATTACTGCAGCATTTGTACTCATAGGCTGACAGAGGAATCATTCATCATTATAAAACTGCTATTCAACGTATTGTTCTGACTGATGTCTGTTCTCTCTGCTTTTGGATTTTTCTAGACTGTTCGAGAACAACATTGTGGAGAGGACATCCTTTGAGAAAGACAAGAAGTTTGAAATATGGTGACCCTCCGTCAGTGTGGGTGGAATCTGCCAATCAGGGAATAACTGATCTATCTCTAACGATCATTACATACTGACTCTGTGTATGATGGGATCCGTTTACATCCATGACTTGTTGTTCTGGAGGTACTATAGATTATTCATTTATGGTACGCATATTAGATTACTCTCCTATTGAACATGGTTAAATGCTTTGTGTGTGTCGTGTCAAATGATCCTCTGCAAGTGGATCAAAGACTTATATCCCACCGTTAAATGCAAATAAATGTTATCTTTTATATAATGTTCATTTCTGAATTTGCTTTTTGATATTCTTACTCTCACTGTTCAAATAAACCTACCATTCAAATGATAGACTGTTCATACCTTGTGGGCAAAGTTAATGGGTTAATGATTGGATGTTTAGATAATGACTGAAGGAAATGATGGGTGGGACCAGGTGGATATTCTCCCTCTACTCTATAATGTGCAGTGGCGTTTTTATATGTACAAAAGTGGTGGGGCACAAAAAACGTAGATGTCTATATATAAGCTTCTGCAGTGACGTGCAGTGAGGTTCATGGCTGCTGAGGCACTGGCACTGACTCTTCAGGTTTACAAATATTATATTTTGACCTAAACCAAAATATAATATTATTTTCAAAAGCTTTTTTTTGTCTGATGCTTCGATTAATTTTAAACAGACAGTTCAACAAAAGGATACCCAAAAAATGTAATTTGATCATTTAAATATTGAATTGTTCTCTCTAAGTAAGATCCCATTTTCAAAAAATTGCGGTCTTACCTTGACTTGAAGATGAAGTCCATTTGCCTATCCTTCTGGACAAAAAATTCTATAACTTTTTTGTAAAAGTCCTCCTTATCATCTCGTAGTTTCAAAAGTCTATCATAAATCTAATCCATAGATTTATGATTCGAAAATGATAAAAGTAGGGTAGACATGTGGATGTTATCCGGCTGAACAAAACGTGCATTTATCTAACAGGTACGTTTCCCACAGATCTTATTTCAAGCTATTTTCTAAAATCCTATAGAGAAACCTCATTGCTTTTTTGCAGCTTACTTCCTGGTTTTAGGACGCGTCACTGCAGCTCTCGTCTCCTCTTATTATACATCCATGCTCTTCACACACCACACTTTTCGCGGCACACGTACTTACAGCCAATCAGCTCTGAATGATGTGAGATGACGTATGGTGGGGATGGCAGCTCTGTGCCCCTATGGTGTTTTTTTTTTTGCCACACACATTACATTGAAAAATACTCTGAGCATGCGCAGTGTAGTTTTTACAGTCACCGTTCACTTTGACAGTGAGAGGGTGGGGCATGATCAGGTTTTGTCCCACATGGCTCAAAACGGCACTGTAGACACTAATTAGAAGAACACAGACTAAAACAGCAATGTACAGACGAATCAGATGATTAAACATGACCTTAAAATATATTTTATATCTTTTATTTCTTTTTTTGCATCTCTTTCCATTTTTTGTAATCATTATGTGTAATACTTTCTGCTGACACTAGGTGGGGCTGTGCCCCACCTGCCCCTAATGACCAGTCGCCACTGATAATGTGACTGTGAGCAGAACCTCTTTCTCCTCTGAGGATCAAGCTGCTCTGTTCCTGCTTTTCAGATCCATTTCAATTGCATATTTTAATTATTTTTTAAATATAGACAAACTTTGTCCATGACTCTTTATCAGTTTCTCTTAAGGGAATTAGAATTTCCTCAAAAAGGCCAGAACTGTTATATCAAAATATGAATTCATGTTTTTCATACTTTGATAAGTGTCTTTGTGTGAGCAATGCATTCTGGGTTGAGTTTAAGGCTGTGCACAGTGACAGAGCTCACAGCTTTACTGCCTGGTCTCTTTATTAAAACACACTATTTATTGTGACCTGCTGTAAACTGTTTTCTTGACCTCTGGTTGCAATACAAGTGCAAAATATGCTAATCAGTTACACAAAACAACATCGTATTAAAATGATGTGCAACGTCTTAGGACACATTTAATATTTTCTGTAAATAACTCTAACATATCGTAAAGTGTGCTTCTGTAAATCTAATATATGCATAACACTTATCTTATGCAGCCACAGTTCCAACTGGTACATTTTGGCATGTTTTGTTTTGTTGGTGAAGCAAGCTCAGCTGTTTTTCCAAAATCCATCTTTTCAATATACGATCTTTGACGGGTCTGAACAGGTGCATTGTGGGAAGCCCTCTCTGACGCTGTCTGTGTATTTCTTGACATCTAACGCCACTTCTCTCTCCAGGTGCACGCTAAAATGCATTCTGAGTCTCACTTGAACTAGGTTATTAACTGGAAGTCAGCCTTTCCTCCACGAGCGTTCAGGACGGGCTGCAGCATGGAGGCTGGTGAAGGTGAGCGGTCTGTCTGCAGCTAGCTTTGCATGCTAACGTTATTCCTCATCTGCAGGATTCTGTGTGTGTATTCAAACATGCTTATTATCAGGGAGAAGATGACGTCAGCTAATAAATCACTGTGTTACAAAGCCAACGTTACAATAGTCTGCATCAAACTGGAGATGTGTGCAAAGATGTTGCACCTAATTTAATTTAAATATGATGTGCATGCTCTTATTTTGTGTCTCTATCTTCACTGTTGCTGAAACAATGCATCTCCCCTCTGTGGGGAGAATCAAGGCTTTCTGACTCTGAAATTCAGATAAATATATTTTACTGTATTTACTTATTTGGTCAGCTGATGGCCTGAGAGCTAATCTGCAAAAACTCAGATGTACCTGTTTCAAAAACACATACAATTGTCTAGTCCCAGTATGTGCACGATTTCTGTGTTTATATTTCTTTAAAACTGAGAGAATCTGGGTTGGCCAGGCACAAAAGAAACTTAGAGACATGGGTAGAAACTGTGATTTGAACTATTTCTTATAACATGTCAGTGAGCTATTCAGTAAAGCTGAGATAAAGGTGTCAGAGCGAAGTGTCCCATGCATTGCCCCTCCCAGTGAAGGCTGTTGCCCCCTGTGCCAGGTG